ACTGGCCACATAGTTACAAGTGGTTTGTACTGGCCACATAGTTACAAGTGGTTTGTACTGGCCACATAGTTACAAGTGGTTTGTACTGGCCACATAGTTACAAGTGGTTTGTACTGGCCACATAGTTACAAGTGGTTTGTACTGGCCACATAGTTACAAGTGGTTTGTACTGGCCACATAGTTACAAGTGGTTTGTACTGGCCACATAGTTACAAGTGGTTTGTACTGGCCACATAGTTACAAGTGGTTTGTACTGGCCACATAGTTACAAGTGGTTTGTACTGGCCACATAGTTACAAGTGGTTTGTACTGGTCACATAGTTACAAGTGGTTTGTACTGGCCACATAGTTACAAGTGGTTTGTACTGGCCACATAGTTACAAGTGGTTTGTACTGGCCACATAGTTACAAGTGGTTTGTACTGGTCACATAGTTACAAGTGGTTTGTACTGGTACAGTAACATCTTAAACATGTTGTAGGCTCAATGGCATATTAAGGTCGTTGGGTATCATGTGACATCATTTGGTAACTGCTGCTGTACTGGCCACATAGTTACGAGTTGGTTGGTAACCAAATGGCCAGTGATGCTGTGGTTACTAAGTGATGTCACATGATGTTATCGTCATACAATTCAAGTTATATAACTAAGAGTTCATGGTATATGATGTTATATTTGATATAAACTCAGTGTTCAAAAGGTTAAATCAAAACAGTTAAGCAAGGGCTTTAAGTTATATTACTTGGAGTTCAGAGTATATGATGTTTTGTTTTATTTACACTCAGTGTTCAAAAGGTTAGAACAGAACTGTCTGTAACCATGAGATCAATGGGTAGACTTATTCCACTGTTCTGGAAACATTGCATTGCACACTGCATCGGACATTAAACTCTATTTTAATGAGGTGTAGAACAGTAGGATATTAAACTCCATTTCATTTCATTTTCATCATCCAAATGTGAAAGTGAAAGTAGAAAGTAACACGCCTTATGAAATGATTATATTATAAGATAATAAAGTGTTATAATATACTTATAATGGTAGTTAAAATACACGTGGGTGGAAGATCTAACAGCTTCCAACATAACTAGAAAGTTTACATACAGCACAGATACTATAGACTTGAAATAACTTAGTCTCTGCCAATTTTATACCAACAGGAATCTTGTCTCCCATCGTGGGGGAGAAAGTGGTGGGGGGAGTATGTCCCAGTTTTATTAAACAGGAATCTTGTCTTGTTTCCCGGTGTACAACTATATATAAGTTTTGGTTTAAGGAGGAGTGGGTGCCGGTTTTATAGAAATACTGAAATGGTAATTGTGACTAAATCGGAACGGAATATTGCCCCTCCCCCCACCCTCTCACACCTTCAAATTTTTCATGACTTGACAGAGGCAAGAATTGTCTATGAGCCTTCTTTGAAAAATTTGTAGCCCCTTTCTTGGCCCTCTTACCTAGTGATTCATATAAATGCAACTGGTTATAATTCGATAAACCCTGCTCTAGAACCCTACAGCCTAGACAGCAGGTCTATTTGGCAGTCTTCATTAACCAAACCAGCACTCAATTCAGATAATGTAAACATGATAAAGATTGCTCTGGTAAAAACACCAGTATTTATTTAAACTAGCAAATCATCTGTTTAAGAGGAAACACAGTTTTTACATAATCAAAACACTCATTACATTTTATTGTTTCATAACCAAGGGCAATAACTCTTGAGTTCATTATACCACAGAGCTGTTGTAATTTAAAGTAACTATGACCCAGCTTATACTGCTCTTTTGGAGGGGCCACATAGCTAATATTATTCACTTGACTAGTGGTATTTCTGCCTGAGAGTCCACATAGCTAATACTGTTATTTGGTTTATCAACTCAACACCTCTTTCTGAGAGTCCACATAGCTGATTATATTTATTTGGTTTGTCAAGTCGGAGAGTATCTTGTTATAAACTGGCACCATAAATCACTAATACTGACAGTCTGATTGAGCCTATCTTTGTCTACATCTAGTGTGATTCTAACACCAGCTTTCATTCATTATTCAGAACATAACACTATTAACGCAATCAAATTTAGCGTTATGTGTCGTCTGGCAATAGTGGGGCGCGTTAACGGGACTAATAACCCACGGCGTATTAACACGTTATGTATCTCTATTATCGTTAACATTGATTACACATTGACCGATTCACTCACTTACCATCACAACAATTGATTTGATTGGCTGATTAGTGTATGAATACAACATTTAAATCAAGGGGTTAAGCAGAAGGCAAAAGGCCAAGCATTGTTCATAAAATTTGCCAAGAATGTCATCATCAGGGGTTGTTTATTAGGTTTATTGTGTTAGCCAGATTTGAGCCAGGAATTTTCTGTAATAGTCGGAATGTTTTCTTATTGTGACAAAAAAAGAGCTCGATTAGTTACGCAAATATTTGGCATTCCAACAATACATTTTTATTGGTTTTACTCAGCAATCCCCTTCAGAGAGTCCACGTCAATGTTGTTAACTCTGTATCCCTTTTAAGAGGATCCACAAAGTAAATGATGTCCTTTGTAGAGTGTTCATATAAACAATGTATCTTGAGTCTGTCAACTCTGTATACCTTTTAGAGAGTCCACAAAACTAATAAAAACTATTTCCTCATAACTACAATGGTAACTGAACTAAAAGTATATCAACTCTACATCCTTTTTAGGGAGTCCACATAGCTTATTCTTTAGGTTTGTCACTTAATATTCCTTTTAGAGTGTCCACATAACTTTATTTTTATTAAACTGAAAGTATATCAACTCTTAATCTTTTCAGAGAGTCCACAAAGCTAAATATTTTTATTTTATTGTATCATTACCCAAGAAATTCAACCTTCTGAAAAGTGATCAAGAAAATGTATCATAATTTAATGTACTAGTATCAACTCATAGTCCTTTTAGAGTATCCACATAGCTAAAATATTTATATTTTATTATTCCATTACCTAAGAAATTCAGCCTTCTTAAAAGGGATAAAGGAAATGTATCACAAGAAAATGTACTTATACAATATATCTTGAATCTAACGACATGTTGACAAAAGATAAGATGACTACATGCAGTCAGTCTATAAGAAAAATGGCGACAAAAATAGACATGGTAACTATTATATTGTTTCCATGGTAACAAAGAAATTTTTCCCTTTAATAACCCAGAATCATTATCCTTCAGTTATTATAGAAGATCAAAATATAATCTTCACGATTTCTCGGCTTTTTAAAAAATAAATCAACAGGGAGTTAGACCTGAAATTTCTTTTTTTCAATTTACTAAGGCTCATCTTCAGCTGCTGACATGTGTTTCAGATATGATATCCTCATCAGGACAGCTAGTAGGCTTATTGGAAATGGAGGTTAATGTTCTACTAAACATGAATTGCCTACATAGAGCTCATCTCTTGCTGCTAACATGTTTTAGATATGAAACCTTCATCAGGAGAGGGAGTATTTCCAAAATAGTTGTTTGAACAAAGTAGGGACCACAGAATTGTCAATGGGCTCAAAGCACCTCACAGGGGTAGGGGAAAAAGCAGAGCCAGCATAAGTTCTTGTCCTTACCCCCTACACTTACGACACCAGCCTCGGCCAGAACATTCTCTATCAAATTTATAATCCTTCTCATTGTCCAGCATGATTCCCTAGTAATAATATTTACATAGACTCGAGAACAAATAAACACAAATCGTGAACACAGAATTTCTGTTTTGATGGCCAGTGGAATATAATCATTATATACATAATCCTTATTATACAGCCTAATTAACTACTCTCCATTTCTGAAGAGCTACTTGAAGGGGAGATAACTCGATGTTGAGATCAATCAGACGGATTGATTAGTGTCATTCTTTGTTAGAGATGTGCGTCTGCTTTCACCATGCTTCCAGCCATCATCTTTACAATGTAAAGCTATTACGAACTTTGGCTTATACCTTGTTAGCAATAGCCACCTTTCTCGTATAACAGAATGCAGCGATTTGATTGGATTGTATACCGGCGAATACAGCCAATCTGAGCCCTCAACAGAAAGACTGTTAACATTATGGCTAAGTGATTACAACCTTTCTGTCAAGGCCTCTGATTGGCCGTATTTTCTAGTGTACAATCCAATCAAATCGCTGGATTAACAAACTTCTGTGATACGAGACTGCAACTGAATTGAAGATTCAAGCCAACAGGACTATCAAAGAACATTTAAGTTGATTCTCCAAGAGTTTACATCTTATTCTCGCAGCTACTTTAAACTTTGGACCCTAGAGCTTATAACTGAGCATTAACATGTTTAATTTGAACATCTAGAGGGGATATAAAGTTGGCGTGTACTAAAGTAATAATCACCCATGAATACAATTAAACGCCTGCTTGAGTTTACGACCCCATAACGGCCCACTTGATAATATACTTACACATCTTTATGTGGCGTATGGATATAAAAATTGTACAATATAGTTCTGGCACGTTAGTTGGAGGTATGAGAAGTTATGATTTATTTAGTATATCAGTCTTAAAGGGATTAATCGGGAAATTTAGCATGGAGTTTTCCAAATTGTTTATGTGTATCAGGGACACTTATATCATCAATTTACACTATTCCAATTTTCAATCAGACGTCTTGCAATTCTTGACTAGGGAATTTCAAATTTCAAATTTATTGATAGTTGAAGGAGATTGGTTAATGTTATGTAATGAATTTTCTAGAAAGTTTGTGAAAGAGAAACCATAGTTTTAGATTGGTCTGTATAGAACTAATGGTTGGTTCGTAATGGAAAGAAATCATAGAACTGTGGAGCGATTGTTAGTTTTATAAATCTATTAAAATTGATGACACTATTGGTATTTTATATTTTATTTACCCTTTCCGAGCAGAAACAGACGCCATTTTATTTCACGGAGCCACAGTGGCTCAGTGAGTTAGACGCTTGCTCTCCCACTTGAATGTCCAGGGTTCGATTCTTGCATAGGTCGAGATGATACCTTCAGATTTTTCAACCTGGTTTCCTCCTGTCAGTGATGCAGGTAAGAGAGGCTGACATGAAAAAAGTATCTAGTCGTTCAGGTGAAACAATAAACTGTGCTACAGGCTGTGCACGTTTAAGATCCCTCGACAGTGGGAATTCAAAAAATAGGAGGCAAAACTCCATTTCATTTCAACTCCCACTCTCGGAATTCTTTACAAAACTCAACTGGTGATAATCGTAAGATTTGTTCATATTTTTTCTACAAAATACAAGCTGTTCTACTTTCGTTTTATCGTTCCAGATTACAATGAATCTAAATTTAGTCTCAATACACATAAATCTTGATGATAACAGAGAAAAAACGAGACAAAAAGAAAGAAAAATGATTTATTTCAATAAAAATGAGTTAATGTATTACAAAAACAAGAAAAGAAATTCAAATATTTTACATTTTATTCTGAATTATTCATTAGATCTATTTAATATTCCAAATCATTATTCAGTATCATTAATCAAATAAAAAAAATCAAATTCATTACTATAATTCATTATTTTAAATCATTATTCAATTTCATTATTCAAATTCATCATTATTCAATTTCATTATCCAATTTCATTATTCAATTTCATAATTATCAAATTTCATTATTCAAAATCATTATCAAATTTCATTATTCAAAATCATTATTCAAATTCATTCTTCAATTTCATCATTATTCAATTTCATTCTTCAATTTCATCATTATTCAAAATCATTATTCAAACAAACATATCCTGATGATATGAATAATGATTTTGAATAATGATTTTGAATAATGTATATAAGATTTTCTTCTGTTGTAATTTGAAAGCAGAAGTATAGAGACTCAGAAAGGTTGGCAATTCATCGATGAAATATATTGACATTTTGAAATAATTCCTTTTCCATTTTTTGAGTGAGAATCAGCCAATATTTATTTTAGAGTCCAACAAAATCAATGTATGCTAGAGGTGTGCAACTGGGCAAATAAATAAAAATGACTGGCAAATATGAAAACTGGAGGACACAGTCAAATCAACAATCTAGAGCTCTGGCTAGTTAATTCAGTCAAAAGAATACCGGTTGTCCACAGCTCAAGTTAGACATAACTGGTACATACAACCAAATACAGTCTAGAGCTCTAGTTAGACATGACTGGTACATATAACCAAATGAACAGTCTAGAGCTTAGTCAAACAGACTGATGAATACAGTCAAATCAAGAGTCTAAGGATTCAAACAGACATCAGAGAGCTCTAGTCAGGCTTTACACAAATATACAAACTTTAATTAATCAGACAACTGGCAAACACAGTCAAATCAGCATCCCTGATAAAAAGCTGTCTTTTAGAACAAGAATAGAAATAAATTCTATTTTTACGTGAGCTGAACAAATTCATCAAATTCCTATTACTGTTCTCTTGAAATCTAGTTAGCTTATTTAAACAGCTATAGCTAGGGTCGGATTTACACAGAATTAATAAGATAGATGACTATTATTATCAACAGGTGAAGTAGAGTAGAGAATACTCAATACTAGTTATCTCCCTTGATCTTTTAATATAACACCAACAAAATAACATTAGTTTTATCTGAAGTTAAGTTAAGCCCACGTCATGTGACTGACTTAATAAGTGTAATAAGTCTACAAATCTTGTTAGAGGTTTTGTCTGAAGGCTTTAGTTCTATCATGTTTAAAGTCATTGTACCAGGCAGGGATATTGTGTTGGTTCTTTTTACCGGACAAATTGCACTGTCATAATGTGTACATTTATTTATGATCATTAATGATCTTTGTCAAAGATTATGATTAATTTTATTCAAGTTTCTTATTTAAAATTTGGCAGATTTTTTTTTTCAATGAAGTGCTACCAGACATAGCTTAAAAAATCATCTGTCTTTAAGCCCCACCTTTGGTGAGCAACCAATTTTACTCATCCCTTGGCTGCTAGCTTAATACAAGCACAACTCTACTGAAAAATAACGACTAATTCTATCCTTTTCTTCTTCCAGGTTACGGCCACTCTACACCTCAAACGATTGGTGGAAAAATATTTTGTATGTTTTATGCGTTGGCAGGAATTCCATTGTGTATCGTCATGTTTCAGTCTGTTGGTGAACGCTTGAATACATTTGTGACGTTTCTTTTAAAACAATTACGGAAGTGTTTTAAAATGAAAAATCCTGAAGTTTCTCAAACTAATTTAATATTAATAACTATGAATTTATCTATGATAGTGTTAACTGCAGGTGCTGCGGCGTTCACGTCCTATGAAGGTTGGCAATACGTGGATAGTTTATATTACTGTTTTATCACCCTAACGACAATCGGGTTCGGAGATTATGTGGCGTTACAGAAAGATAATGCTCTAGAAACAAAGCCACAATATGTAGCGTTCAGTTTAATATTTATTTTATTTGGACTTACTGTGATTTCCGCTGCTATGAATTTATTAGTGTTGAGATTTTTGACAATGAACACGGAAGATGAACGGCGGGAGGAATTGGAGGCTGCTGCCGCGGCTCAGGGAGCTGTCCGTTTAGAAGGGGACATAATAACTGCTAATGGAAATGTGGTTTCCGGTGCTCAAGAAACGCCAGAATTTAATGACTTAGTGTCGGTGTGTTCGTGTTCGTGTTATAATTTACGTTCGAAATGTCGTCCAAGGTATAAAGTAACTCGGGGACCAACGAAAATCGGACATCTTTTGCCAATGCAGTCTGTGTCTAATAAAGAGGACTCTCATAGTTGTGTAGAAGACACTAACTCTTATTTCCAAAATCAATTAAATAAAAAGCGAGCCTCTATTTGAAATCAAGGGAAATAATTTGCTGTTTATCCTGTCTTTCATTGAGAGTCGTTGGTTGTGTCCTATTCCGTATCTTAACGTCATCTTGGTCGTTTTCGATAATGATTACCTGTAATGGGAATAATGCCTGGAGGTATGGAATCCAATGATATATATTTTAAGGAATGGAAAATCTGCTGATATAAAGATTGTTGATTGCATTTGGTTAGCCAGGTGTGTCTGACTGGTGCTTGTTGCTGTTGGGATACATTTTATTCAAATGTTAGTTAATGTGCTATCTGGAAAGAGATTGTGAAAAGATACATCTCTTCCAACAATAGTATGTTTGGTAATGAAAAAATTGGGATTAGGGCCTACTTATTCATGGCACTCATGTGATGGAAAGTTCTAGAGTCTGCTGGTCTTCGAGAACGGAAAATAAGCTGCAGGCCTTATGGAAAGATACTGCTTTGTGTGCAGATTTCTTGTGGAGATTTCAGAATGGTTCACCAATCCATGGTCTTTGCTGGAAGGGCACAATGTTGTGAGAATGGTTGGTGTGGAATGTGTTAATCATTGAAGTTATGATTATAAAGGTTAAGCGCCATCTACTCTGGTGTCTGCTGATGCCAAGAAGGAGATGAATCACTCAGCTATTGATAGGACTGTATTGGCCAATCATGTCTGATTAGAACTCAAAATATATGTCTATGATAATGGTGTCTAGGACATCTGGTATGAAATGCAACCAGATTTTGCGAAAATTTAATTGCTGAATCTCATGTGACTACATCTTTGTAGTATCGCCGAAGAATGACCTCACCTTGACCTCACGGAAGACCTTGACCTTTATGATATGTAAGCCACTGCTGTGTGTGATCTGTTTGAAGGTCCAGGGATGTTGTAATTGTTAAAAACTTGCCGTTAATTGTTCCGTTCATGGTTTGATATATTTATTATCTATGAAAAAACTTTTAATTTTGAAAATATCTTGAAATGTTGATTGTTTCTGATGTATTAGGGCAGAATCATGTGTCAAATTCTCATTCTAAAAAGTGATACAGATAGTTGAAGTTGATCTGTATCAGCAACTATTAAGTAAATAGTAAAACAAATATTAAAGGGATTGTAATCAAGAAGTTTTTCTAAATATTTGTATGTGTTTCGCGGACTCTGATAGCATTGCGATGACATCACTAATCGTGAAGGAACTCATGTGATAAAACATATTTCCCAATTAGTGACATCATCAAACACTTAGTTTTAGTGGAATTGCAAGAACCACAGACACCTGATTGAAAATTGGAATGGTGTAAATTGATGCTATCAGTGTCTGTGCTACACATAAGAATTTAAGAAAACTTCATTACAATCCCTTTAAGATGACTGTATTACTTTTGAATTCAGGAGATTTTTAAAAGTCAAAGTTTATTTCATTGTAAATAAGATTGTATATATATTGTTATTTAAGCCAAGAGAGATTTTTGTTATCAAAATTTGTTATGAATCTTCTATTTAGTAAAAATTTGGGTATATGGTGATATCTTTTTTTTTCTACTTTTTTGATGATAGATTGTGGTCTTTTTTCATTTTTGACTTATGGGTATTATGTCTCAAGCTGTGAATAGACAATGAACAGTGTCTTGTACGGTGTTCAGTACGAGATTATTGAACCAGTTGAAAATAGAAGCATATTCAGACCAGTATCGCGTATGTTCACTTCTGCTATTTTCTACTGTATTAATAATCCAATACCGAACACTGTACCAGACACCGCCCTAGACACCGTTTATTCCCACCTTTAATTCTTCCCTCTGATTGGTCCAATTAAGCCAATTAAAATTAATTTGATAATTATATTTTTAAATAATTTTTAATATTCTTTGAATTGTCCAAATTGGAAGCAGTTTGGACAAACAGAAACGACAGACATTGCTTGGGAAATCAGAATGATGTTAATAGAAGCAATAAGTGTCTCTGATACAGCTTCTAGTTACACCCTTCTAATTCTCTGTCCAAATTAATAATTCCTCTCAAATACCTGCTTAGTTATAAAACAAATATGATACTTGGCCTCCAATTGTTTACGAATAAAGCAGAATAATTTTTGAATAATTTGTGCAATATTAAATTGAATTTTTTATATTTTAAGATATTTTGAAGAATTTCAATATGAAATTGGTTTTGAGATATTTTTGTTAAGTGGTGACCCACTAGGGGTTGACCTCTCCAGTATATAGAGAACCTGGAATTCGTTGTTATTTTATATCCTTTAATTCTGGAATAAGTTTCAGGAATTTTGTATTAAGATCTGAGATATTTCAATACATGTATATCATCTTTGGTTTAGGGACTTTTTTGTAATGAGTTCTTGCAACTTGATTGTCAGTTGGGGAGGATCTTTTTCAAGATTTATTGACATATATCTTGTATAATGGAGGAGGGAAGGGGAGGGGGGAGAGGAGGGGAGGGTGCCCCAGGGCCATTAAAAATGACAAATGTATTCTCGCCTTTCTCCGACCCCCTCACCCCACCATGACTGGGGCTCTCTAAACTCTAATAGGCCCCAGAGCTCTCCAATGTCCCCTCCCTGTCAATAAAATACTCACTATGCCACTGAAAATGGCCAAATATCTTGATACAAATAAAATAATGATATAAAAGATTATGACATAATTTTTTTTATAAGTTATAAGTTTACAAATAATAGAAGTGCACTTTGTTGACAGCATTATCTTCATGAAAGTGTTTTGATTTATTAATTGTGTAGGTATGAAAGTGTTTAAAGTGTTTTGATTTATTAATTCTGTAGGTATGAAAGTGTTTAAAGTGTTTTAATTTATTAATTCTGTAGGTATGAAAGTGTTTATTATTTGTGAAGATTTGAACGTGTTATAATTGAAGAACGTATGTTTGTTATTAGTGGTAGCATTCCATTTATTTCTATCATCAACTTCTGATTGGTTAATACCCATCATTCTTATGATGTCTTGGAAATCCTGTGCATGATTTGATGATGTCATCACATGATCTGATGATGTCATCTTGTCCATGATTTGATGATGTCAATTTATTTTGTGATGTCATCACAATATGATGATGTCATCATATTATTTGCAGATGGTGCTATCACATCATGAATTGATGATGTCATCACATGATTTGATTATGCCATATTTCTCTCCTTATTTGATGATGTCATAACATCATGAATTGATGATGTCACACTCATTACATGGGACATAAAATGATGATTCATCAGATTATGTTGATCATGTGATCATTGTTAAAGTTGAAAATATTCATGTTCTTCTTTTCAAATAAAAAAAAACTTCAGAATAATATATGGCTGTGTTTTTTACAGATGTTTTCAGTCAGAATAACGGGGACCTGGAAGTTTTATGGATCAAAGGTTACATGTAGAAGACTCAACTACCTTTGGCAGCTCAAGATAGTGTTAGTTGATGGTGCCACACAGAATATGCTTACTCTTCTAGACATCTGATAGGCCTACCACATTTCATTATTAAATATTTCTCATTTATAATTGATATACTTCTTCAAATGAAAAGTTCATAAGCTGCAACCAATTATGTAGTCCTATTGCCTAACTGTTTGAATTTCAAGTTTCATTTTGGAATGGGATCATTAGTACTTGGGTGTTTTATTCTCAGTCTATAGTGTATTCAAATTAAACCCATCCTATTATAGTTTTTCTATGAAGAACAGGCCAAGAAATAAAGCCATTCTTAAGTCATTATTTACAGAGTTTGATAGAAATTTGTGTGGTCTGAAGTTAATGAGGTGTTGTGTTATCCTATTAGTCTTATTTCTTATCTTTTATACTTAGTTTACTGAGTTCATTTCAGTACACGGATACAGTTAGTTACAAACTTTATTATATTACATAACATTCAAACAGTCAAAATATATCAGCTAAACAGCCAAAATATATCAGTCAAACACAGCAAAATATATCAGTCAAACACAGCAAAATATATCAGCTAAACAGCCAAAATATATCAATCAAACACATCAAAATATATCAGTCAAACACGGCAAAATATATCAGCTAAACACATCAAAATAAAGCAGTCAATTGTGTTTAAATATATACGTCAAAATATGTCAATTATATAAGTCTTTCTATACTATGTGCTATAATTAAAGGGAGATAACTACAATTTAGATTCGTTCTTTCAGACCACATTCATTACATTAATTGTATTGAAGTTCAATATGTGTGTTCTCGATTTGTCTAGTCAGTTTATAAAGAAAATATATTAACAAATTTCCTCATTTTACCATAGGCAAATTTATTAGTAGTTTTATGGTTTATCCCTGAAAATAAAAACGGCATAATTTCTAGCAAAGAGACGTCATTTTGATAAATAGGTCGAAGCACGTGCATTGGTGTTCAAGTTGGAAATTATAAGTTTACTTCGAACAAACTATCAAGGGCATCATAATGTGTGACTTCTTCATTTTTTTTTTTTAAATATCTTTTAGTTTTTATTGAAAAATATTGTGTTGATACTAAAATGCCTTCTTTGGAATGCACGTACCTGATATATGTGGCACTGTGGAAAGTTGACTTTTTATGGATCTTTAATGACATATTGATATCTTACCATTATTTTTCTGTGCTTATTATTTTGGGTTGTTTTATTTATATTGTTTGTATGTGTGTGCATGTACGCGTGTCTGTGTTAATCCACTTTTATTATAAATTCTTACCTTCAAAGTTACCTCGCTGGAGAGTCGAACTTGAGTCGTCATATCGTCGCTTGTAGCATTTTACGGACGCGCTATCGGTTTGGCCATCGCATTTGGCTGATTTGGTCGGTGATTTTAAGCGTCTTGTGGATATATACATGTTATGTCAACAGAGCAGTTGGATAAGGTTACTCGATGAGTCAAATCTTAAGGGGTTTTATGTCCTATTGCTCCAAACTTCCATAGGCTTTTAAGAACTGGTAGAGTAAAGAATTTTATCCGGAGACAATTCGAATTTATGTTAGTTTAGGTTATTGTGGAGCCAATCAAATCTTGTGGAAGCTAAGGTTCTGTTTGTGAGATTGTCATTATCTGGAATTGTAGAAAAACTCCTTGAAAACTCCAGGAACCCTGGCAGAGCCAAATTGATCCTGATTTAATTATGGTTCTAGTAATTGGTAGTAAAACGACTGGATAACTCGAAGATGGACTGGATGTAAGGGTCTCAGACCACGTGAAATGATCACGTGACATGTACCGTTAGATCAGAGAAACTCTTTGGTTTGATTTGTCTGAAAACTACTCACTGTCAGGGTACAGATCTTCTCCTGAACAGTGTTTTCACAGTCCGTCATGGCTCAGGCGATAGCGAGTAAGTCTTGGAAGGTAGAAGTCGTGGGTTCGGTTCCTACCATGGGCAGATTGATTTTTATCAAACTATTAGCATTGCAGATTCGCCAAACACATCTCTTAAACCTTTCAACGTGAACATGGCCGTGGTGGTCCAGTGGTAAAGGCGTCCGCCTGAAACTGTAACGTCTTGGGTTCAAATCTCGTTCGAGGTGGATGCTAGTTTTAGTAAAATATATATAGCAACTACGAATGATATCTCTTATTTCTTCTACGTTAGACATGACCACGGTGGTCTAGTGGTAGAGGCGATGGTTTGAGACGTCTGTATAGTTGACATGGGTTCGGATCCCGTTCAGAGCAACTGTCATATTTTGACAATTTGTAATCTTACAGTTAGCTTTAAATACATGTTTTAAAACAGCATTTGGAACGGGTCTCAATGGCCTAGACGGATGGCTGGATGGACTTGGTCAGAACTCTGCTACGACGGTGAGGGTTCGAGACTCAAGTTGTTCAAGGGATTTTGATAAATCCTGCCTGTCTGCCAAAAATCATTCAATGAGAGACGTCCTCTCAATTTAAAAAGCTTGAATGTGCGTTGAGGCGTTGGGCCTGCCGCAGGCAAGACACTATCAATAGAGAGAACGATTGGCAGACAGGAAGAACGAGAGTCAAGGAGGGGAGCCGAGGGGCAAACAGGTGCCCGGGTGCCCCCAAGATTCTAAAGGAGAGAGTGGAAGATACTTACTATTCAACTACTATTAGTATGTGACTTTGAACTTTAAATATTACTTACATACACTGTTTTGAAGGTGGCTTTTTTGGCTGTGATCGTAGAGATGTTCATCCCTCCCTACGTTTTTTCTATCATTTAGACGACCCGGGTTCGATTCCCACTCAAACCCAACTTTCGGTTTTTAAATATTTTAGACGTCCAAAGCAGTTTCTAGTGGTTTTGAGTGCCCACTATGGAAAATCTTTCACAACTAGATCTCCCCGTGGGGTTCGAACCCACCTAAGTTTCTAGTAGGATGTTAGTCCTTACTATGGCTGACGATATTTCAACCGTGTTCTCCCGACGCTCTACCACTGAGCCATCCTGTCGAACAAATAAGTGGAATTTTTATCCATTATAACTGTAACCTTCAGTAAGAGTGATGACAAAATATCAACTAGCTTATTTCTCTGGCTGATTTCGGGATTTGATCCCGCATCGTCATACCACCAGACCAACGCTCTACCACTGAGCCATCTGAGCTGATACTTAAGTGAACCATTTATCCAATATATCTCTAACCTTGTGTTCTAAACGATGTAAAACTGGGCCAACAAGTCCTAGAAAATAGCGTATTGTGAAGCCATGTTTTATAGATCTTTTGAACTTGAATCGAACCGACTGAGCTACTGCGACTTCTATCTTTCACCATTGATAAAGAGAATATATCATTTGGTTTTATATAAAATCGTAAAGTGAAAGACGCAACGACCAGGGATTGAACCCTCAACCTTAATAGTATCAGTTCAACACGCATCCGACTGAGCTATCAAGTATGCACGTGCTTTAGGCTGTCTAAGCTGACCTACTCTCACTTTGAGACTAGATTAAACCAGACACTACATACATTCAACATTCTACAGCAGTGCTTTAACATCCGGATATCCAGTCGCATACACTTGGTTGACTGGTCTGATGAAACTACTCAAGAACTTGAGTTTTGTTTCCCCCATTTTTTATTTTTCTTTGGTTCAGTCTGTTGAACATAGAAATAGGGGGTTCGAAACTCGTCTTGGGCGTATCCAACTCCTATTTTTATAAATTTTATTGAAAGATAAGGATACACAATGAGCCCTTAGTAAGTAAGGGCCCGATGTGTCACGCGGTTTTTGAGTATAATCCATGATTTTGGGACCTAAAAACGGCAACACCAATGTCCAAAAGGAAAATGTCCACAATCATGTAACCCAAATATATGGAATGGAATGCAGTCAGTCAGAGTCTGTCGATTGGCTGTATTTGCTGATGTACAATCCAATCACATCGCTACATTCCACGATACAGGAAAGGTGGTTATTGCAGTCAAGTATAAGACGGAGTTTGTAATAGCTTGACATTGTGAAGATGCAGGCCCGATATTTTTCATTTTCGGTACAGGCTGGACAGGTTTTTCTAATCCGTTTTTCTTTGAATCAAAGCACATTAAAACCAATCAAATCTGGACCTTGGTGTTTTCTTTCAATTTAAAAGTGACTTAAAGACAATGCTTTTTTATATTTGGTTATCAGACAGATTGGATTAGATCTTAAAGGGCTGAGTTTGATTGCATAAAGCTTCTAATAATACCCTGATTATCGAGACAATTCTTATTAATTTCAGTGTCACAAACAAGTCTGGATAATCCGGTAAAATTAACAATCAAACAAAACAAATACTGCCGTTATCTAATTCGTCGTAAACGATTTTAACCCTTTAAGCGACAAAAAGAAATGGCCAGAATTAGGCTATTGTAGCGTTGTTAGGGTTAACACCACTGGTCACTAGGTGATGTAGTATTATATCTGGCAAAATTATCTGTCGATCCTAACATTACCACAAGTTGTGTCATCTTATTCAAGATATTTCTTCAGCTGATTTTTAAGTACCTTCTAAATTAGCATATCTGCAAAGTGACCATAATTGGAGGGGGTTAAACGAACCGCTGTTAGAAGTGTTTCCCGAAATAAGAAGACCTTCTAAGAGCTGTCATTTCCGAGTTGGAATAACTGGACTGTTTTGTTTTAATTAAATAAGCAAAAAGTGTTGTTGTTCCGAAAGGTTAACTGAACAATTACATTCAAATGTGAGAAAGACTTAGACATGTTAAACTTTTGAGTCCATAAAAGACTTAGCTTAGAGCTGCAGTGGAACAAGAAACAGTGCTTAAATTGTGGATGATATTTTTTTAAATTTCAAAATGAAGGAATGTGATACAAGGATGATGAGAATAGCAGTTTTATTTTTAGTATTCGAGACTACAATAGGTAAGTCCCCAAAGCATATCCATCAATTCATATACAAGTCCTTATAAAGGTTTACTTGTGCTTCCAGAAGATGCTGATGCCAATGCTGACGCTGATCCCTTTCCACCTCGTCCCTTCTGTTCCATCCTCTCACCTTCTCTCCCTCCTCCTTTCCATTGCTTCTTTCCTTTGTTTCATTCCTAACACGTTTTGTTTTGTTTCTAGTCAGCTGTAATACGTATGGACGAACGGTTGAGTTATGGGCATCAGCAATCCCCAGGAGTATCTTCTCCGACCACTATCCGGCAGATTACGACTCGTGAGTATTCTTACAACACCTGTTAATATCGCAGTGGTTTGGTGAAGCGATTGGACAACCTAATTCTGCAGAAGTGCTACTACTCTACATCGTGACAGATTCCCCCTCATTGATCACCTCTTAGTATTGTCCGCTAACGGTAGCTTTAACAAACTTTCAACAATAAGACAGACAGAAGTACGTTTTACTCCAAGTTGACCAGTAAGGTGGTGTACAATTTCATTTTCAGACTTCGTTTCATGTCCAACAATTAATCCAGAATATATTTTATTTCAGTTTTTCTGACTCTAGATGGTTGATAAGATCGTCTAATGTGAGTGAATCCATCAAGATAGAAGTACAATATATGGATGTAGAATACGGCGTTACTTGTAGATACGACAAGCTCGCCTTCTACGATGGTACGGTACCCAATTTATATTTAGTTTCCCAGGGACGCTACGGGGCTTCACTGGAAGGGGGGAGGATAGCACCTAGCGCTACCAATAGGGCTTATCTTCTACCCCAGCTGATCGTTCACTGCTGAACTCCAGAGTTTCGAAAAGGCTCCAATGGACACGACTGTGGTATGAACAAACCACACTCTTCATAGCAATTCAAAGGATCGGATGGATCTCAGCAACATTTTCCCGAGAAATCGAACCTGTTCAATAATCCTACATTCATCTTCATTCCAGGAAGCACAGTTGGGGCCCATGTTTTAGCAACACTTTGTGGGAATTACAAACCGATAATAGTCAGCTCGACATCCTCAATACTGATTCACTTTACATCTGATTGGGGAATTCAGGGTCGTGGATTTCATCTACGATACAGCGCAGTATTTGGAGGTAAATATAATCTTATGACCATGGCCAATAGCTTCGAAAAACACAAGATATTTCTATATAAGCAATGTCCCTGTACGCCGCTGAACTCCTGGTCCATAATGTCCGGAGATCTAACTCTATCATCCTGAATATTTCAGTGCCGAGTGGTTATTTCCCTGAGAGCTCTACCACCAGCATGCCCAATGCTTCTGGAAGGGGTAGGAACAGCTTAATCTTTATAGACGTGCTTTAACCTTTTACTAACCCTTTTGATAACGTTTGTGTCCTAACACCCGTAGGAGGGGATTCCAAATGGGGGAAGGGTGGTGGTAGCTGAAAGAGGTTTTCAAGCCTTTGTTTGTATGTACATCGGAAGTTCTCGGACCCTATACTTGTCCTGATTAGGATTTTATATCCAAAGCACATGAGACGAGCTCTTGTCCTGTTAAGTATTTAGTACCAAATTGTTTTTGCAGATGAAGAAGACAATTTTCTAGACAAGTACCAAGGTGTGGCTACAATCGTCGGCGCCAGTATCGGAGGAATAGTTATAGCTGTCGTCCTCATCTACATCATCTGGTTAAGCTGCTACACCTTCTACAATAAAACGAACACAACCCGGCCAACCAACCGGTGTGCTCCGACACCGGAACTCTATCACACACCAGCTTCTGGCGACTTCTGCAGCTATCCGGTCGGACCACCATCTTACGAGTTTGCCGTACCAACCAGTCCACCACCACCCTATGAGGAAGTTGATCCGAATCCAAGACCCCGATCCTTCTTGCATCGTCTTCTGGAAATCGGCATGAATGTTCGACGTCCCAGACGACACGTACGTCCACGACCTGTCAGACCTTTGAGTGCCGTAACGCACAGAAGTACTGTTTTCAGTGGCCGAAACGCTTCATTGTTCAGTAACGTCCGCATGACCAACGGTAGTCAGCCTTCGTGCATCATCGTTACGGAGGCTGAGGACGGTACGATTGTAGATTGCCTGACCAGAGAGTCCATCAGGCAGACTAGATCACCCAGAAGAGGTTCCTCACATCACAGCCCAACAAGATCACCAACTCGACGCTTATCAGAAGCACAAGCAAGACGTCTGTCAGAGTCTCCGACACGACGACCATACAGATCCACAACGAACCGCTCTAACCACTCACCAACTCGTCGTCTTAGCCAATCACCCACGCGGCGCCTGAACCAATCTCCAACAAGAAGACACAGCAGACCATACAATACAAGTCAAAGAAATCAAATCCTCGACAGCAACATCCCCCTTCCAACAATCCATGATGCCAACAACAACAGTGCGGATGTACCAACGCGGCAAAATCTCGTCCAAAACACCGAGCAGAGGTCGGAACCTCAAATGGCAGAAAACGTAACAGATGGTGTTTCTTGTATAGATCTTCCTCTGACTCTGACGTCATCAACAGCGCAGGATGACTGTGGGTCCAACGTGGAGCTGCCAATCCTTCAGGTAACAGCTGATGGAATCATCGAGTCCACTGACGTTTAATCAAGAAACACGCCCGGTTTGGTGTCGATTCCATAAGGATTCGGTTAGATTCTGACGCAGCTTCTATAAAAGCCTGGTGTCCCATTAAGATGAGGTTGTATTCTAATCAGATGATTGCGATTGGTTCTTATGTATGCTGATGAATCTTGTATTGGTCAATGTTCATGCCCCAGAGAATTCAACAACCTACATTAGTCGGTGAAGTTAGGACTCCCAAGACGGTATCAGCGGGCATAAGCACACTGAATTCATACACCATTGTGTTCGTTCTTGGACAAAGTTTTAGCAACTTGGTTACAGAAAACTGTCATTCAAGCCGAGCTTGTCTCACAAGACCAACCATGTGGCAGGACTGACAAACTCTGTCTATGCATTATAACTGTGATGTTACATATTATATTTTTATACTTTATTTGTTGTTGTTAATTAAAGTTTATTTTTATGTTTTCTTACATGAAACTATACGTCTATTATTTGGCCATTATCAACATCCCAACCCATATATTGTACCCAAGCCACACATGAAACCTTCGACAGGAAGTCAGAGATAGTCCATTGACACAACACAACACAAGTTTGACATTCCCAAATCCTTCCACCATAAAAACAAGACAATGTTTGAAGTTAACTTTGAATATTTATAAACCAATTAATGAGAATGAATAAATAACAACAAGATATAGATATAATAATAATTATTCACCCAAACATCACCTAAAACAAATAAACAAACAAATCCCAGCATAGCCAACACAGCAGTGGGATTGGGGGTGGAGCTTCAACAGCATTGCTTGCTGACAGGTGGGTTAGGGGCGGATCTTCAACATCATTGCTAGCAGAGTGGTGGGTTAGGGGTGGAGCTTCAACAGCATTGCTAGCAGAGTGGTGGGTTAGGGTGGAGCTTCTTGGCATAAGTAAGAGGGGTGTCAACACTATCGCTTAGAGAGATGGTGTAAGGGGTGGAGTATCAACAAAATAGCTGACAGAGAAGAGGGATTAGGGGCAGGGCATCAAAAGTAGAGCTATCAGAGAGATCAGTTTAGGGGCGAGGTGTTAACAGGATAACTAACAAACAGGTGGTGTTATGGGCGGAGTATCATCAACAAAGCTATCAGAGAGGTGGGATTAGGGGTGGGGCATTGGCAGCATAGCATAGCACCATGACTCGTAATGAAAAAAAAAATCATAATGAAGAAATATTAAATATGAGTATTAATCAACATTATTAATATTATCAATATGGTGGCAGTCAACGTCTTGTAATGGATCAATCGAAAAATCTTAATATTTGGGTGTCTATGGGACTTAAACTTGCCCCAAGTAGGTCCACCCTTCATGTGATTCACCTTTTGCCAACAAGATTTTGACTGCCACTTTCACAGATCACATAATTCTAAAGAGATTTTCTAGCTAGGGATCTGCATCAGGTACACTTAGAGCTTCTATTTACAACATTCATTTTTCATATTTAAGCCAAATGGTATTATCAACTGTGATGTCATTAGTTCTAAGTGTCCCTGATACACGACCATCAACAAAAAAAACCTCCTGAACCCTTTTTAAAATACATATAACAAGAATAAATAAGTCTATAATAAAATAAATCTATGTACAATATTCTTTGATTGTAAAAATAATTGAAATCTATAAATATATTATTCATATCATAGTGAAAGACAGCTTGGTTTATCAAGGGCAGGGCGAGTCGTCCACAATCTGATCCTTTGATCCACACAAGCTGGCGATGGAACTATCGACACTTCGAGATCAATGGCCAGATGATGAAAAACTCACACACCTTTGTTAAATCAAGATGAATGAAAGACTGGTAACAACTCTTCAAGCATGATTTAAAGATCACAGCTGTTTATTAAATCCAACAACAGAATAACTCACAATAGCTTGTCCTGGATAATAAAATAACATATTCTCTTGCTGCCGTATTTTCATTACAAGGTCAAAAAAATATATAAACCTTTTTATCTAAGTTTTGACTGAAGATCACATAGCGTGAAACTTTTGAGTTACAGCATGTTTCAGGTTCTGTTTTAATATATTCCTTTATTGCTCTGTAATTGATGTATTGAGCACCATGTTAACAGTGAAAATATTCTAAACGAACATGTTTAATCGTCTGTCAGGCAACATGCTGGTTTCTGTCACTACTCAAATTGCTGATCTTTGTACAAAGCTGCTAAAATTTCCGGGTCTGGTTTGCTATCCTCTTCCATGGGTGAGATCCTATCTAGGCTGGTGGTAGCTCCGTTTCCATCAAATATAGGAGGGATATTAATATCCATGTATTCACCGTTTGTTATGTGCTGCCTTAAATGGCGATTAAGTTCATATTTTCGTACGAACTGTTTTTTACAAATATTACATTCATGTGGTTTCTGCTCCGTGGCATGAATTGACTGCTTGTGACGTTTCAAGTGATCACTCCTACTGAAATGTTTCTGACAGATATCACACACATGGGGCTTCACTCCCGTATGAATTTGCATGTGACGTCGTAAATGAATATTTTTTGCAAAAGATACTCCACATGTAGGGCAAGAAAATGGCCGTTCACCTGAATGCGTCCTTATATGAACCTTGAGAATGCAATAACTATTAAATGCTTTCCCACAATAATCACACGTGTATGGCTTCTCCGATGAATGGACACGCATGTGACCTTGGAGATTTGACCTTGTGCTATATTTCCGTGAACAGGAACTACATGGATGACCCTCGCGGGAATGAATTTTTACATGTTTCCCAAGATTCTTCTTATCCCCGAAAGACTTCCCGCAAATTGGACACAAGAAAGGTTTGGACGGGTCTGAGTTGTCGTTGGATTCTGGGTAAAGTTCACAATCACGACCTTCTTTAATCATGGCGATCAGCTTCTGTTGTAATTCAGGATCATCACATTCATCATGGTGGATCTTCAACTCTTCCCGATTCTCGAACAACTCTCCACAGATCGTACAAATTATCACCTCCGATAAACTATCTACAGTATCAGACAAACTTGGCTTCTCATTGGTTGAATTACTGAACGGACTACTGGAATATTGTCGTAAAGATTCGTTTTGAATGGGTTTAAATTTCAATGGCGGGCTATCCTTGCTCTCCATCATGTTCTCTGAATAATAACTCTCTGACAGATCTGATGGTGAAAATGTTGGGAAAGGGCTGCTAAATTTCAAATCATCACCTACAAGAAAAAAAGAATCAGTCAGTCAAAAGAAGAAGGTAAGAAAATCGGCCACCAAGTTGCTAAGAAAATATCAAATACCAAATAAAACTAGATGAAAAAAGCTTCAAGTTCAAGACCACAAGGAATTAAGAAGGTTTTTTCCACAATCTTACCATTAAACGGAGCCTCAACCAGTTCCTTTGGTAAAAATTCCAGCAATTTTTCTTTTAACTCAGGAAATTGGTGTATTATCTGAAAGAGAGTATGAAAAATAAGAGGATTGTTCAAGGACCGGCTGATTAACAGGAACTTTGAGTTGTCGCCCTTGTTTTATATTTTGACATTTAAAAGCGTTACAGAGAGCTGGAATAAAATTTTATCAGTAAGGATGTAATGTAAATATCTGAACTGCTGGATCAAACCCTGGATCTTCAGGTTAGCGAATAAGAGTCTTACTCTAACTAACGAAGCTCTCTTTATAAAGTAAGAAAGAATACCTTGGCTGTATGATATTTTCTGTCATTGTAGCTGTGTTTAACCCACGCCTGTAGACCCAGTATCACTTGATCATCAGTTAATACGTCTTGTTGTAGTAGTTTTAAATATCTTAATACTGAACTAGCTGTCGTATCATAGAAATAACTGTCTTCTATTAACTACAACAAAATTAAAACAAATATCCAGTTTTAACTAGAAAATTCATAGTTGGGCACAAATAATTTGGCAAATTGTCCCAACCATCCTAACTCGGACAATAAGAAAAGCAGGTATCAAGCATATGCAATCAGAAAATTCAGCTCCCAGATCAGCTAATAGCTGGCCAACTGGAGTGATCCAGACACAAGAAATTTTTTCCAGTACTTACAGATTCGAAGTTATCTTGTATAAAATTGGCACTCAGCTGTTCGAGATCGGAACATTGGCATTGGACAGCAACCGTATGAGTTTGAAGACACGTCTCATTTCGGATCAATGACGTTATATAATCACAACATAAATTCACCAGTTCTTCCAACTGGAAGGTAAAGGCTACAGGCAGAATTGTCCAGACGTTCTCTTCGTTCACAGAAATAGCTGATGTGTAACAGAAGTCGATTATCATCTGAACTGCCTCACCATTCACGTTACGTAATGTCAACTCCTTCACTCCAAAATCCCAATTTGTTTCCAAGATATTTTGGAAATATGGTGAGCATGCCGACAACACCAGACGATGGACCGGAATTCGGTAATTTTTTACGATGATTATGACATCACAAAGTTGTCGATTACAGCGCAATTTATTTATGGCACCGATCAGAGAATCAGCATGATTCACCGACATATAATGGAGAGAATCGTCCATTTCTATTTTATCATTTCACCTTTTCCGTTGGTTGGCTGAAAAAATCAGAAGAAAATATCAAATTAGGAAAAGGCTCTTTTGGGCAGGGATGACAAATTGTGTGACATTAATAGGCCCACCGAATGTAAAAATACAAAAGAAAGTAAGGGCACCAAACTTAATTAACGACGCTACTTAATCAAAATAATAGTTAGCCAGATACACAACATCGTCTAAGTGAACTCTCCAATAGGAATACACAGATGTCAAATAGATTCCTAGACAACAATATTATGATCTATGCTAAATACAGTCTTATAGAGATTGAGGTAGATGAGTGAGCATCCCTTGACAACCGCCATATCATACTCATAGATAGTATTGCTAAAGATATTTCATAACATCCCTTGATCATCCCCATTGAATCATTTTATACTACAACTGAGTCCAACCTCTATTTTAAAGCAATATCCTATTATACAGACCAGTGGTTTATAAGTTGGAACATGGCCAAACAACCAGTAGTCTATCTATCACCTGCTAGCCAACACAAGGTTATGGCAGATTCATTCATTAGTCCAGTCAGCCATACTGCTGTGTAGGCTTACCTATCTATTACAATAGACCAGCTTGTAGATCTAGAGATCAATAATGGCTTCACACAATAACAAAACACATCTCTGATGAAACGGACGACAAATGTTGAGAGAAAAGTTTCACAAAATGTCACAATTTTAAGGTCAAAGCCAAAAATAGTTGACATATTTTTATGGGGGCTACACCCTCCATTAGAAACCTGTTGCCATAAAGAATGGGGAGGGGACCAAATTCCCCACTCTATTTACGTCTTTTGAACACGGAAATCGCCGTTCCTACTCTCACAAATGACTTGTCACACTTCAGGGTCCTAAAATTTAACGATCAAAGGCGTACTTACCTCAAAAATATGTTAGAAACGACCAGGTGTCGGGAGGGAGTTGACAGAACTGGTTGGAAAGTGGGCGAGGAGGATATCCCGTTTGTGTACTACGTAATCAAAACAAGTGGTTTACGTCTGGACGATCTTGACTTGTAGACATGTTTTCCAGCACTTCAGGAAAAGATAACTCGATTTTAATTCTAGACCACAGCTAAATCCTAATTTTTAAAGGGTGCCTTCCTGAGACTTTTAACACCCATATTGTCCGTTTTAATAAGATTATGTTGATCTGGATGACTCATAATAAAGGGATTTTGTTAAGCAGTCATGTTTGCCAGTCATGTCCAACCGGTAACCAAAGTTTACTGACCATATTTGTAGCTTGTAGAGCAGTAACATGATATAAGACCTAGTGAAATTTATACACTTCTTTTTCTTACTTTGACAAAACAGATCAGACCTGCTGAGATTCATTTGCCAGTTACGTCTGGATCTAATGCCAAAATGTCAAGCGGTAATAGACTTTATTCACGCTTCAGCCATTTTGAATCCAGAAAACGAGGCATGAATAAGATCTTTGAGCATTGGAATAAACCAATCGGAAATCAACTCATATTGATTTATTGCACTATAAAAATTACAAGGATACAAGGAATATATACAAAATTATACAAAATTAAACTATAAGAGAATCTTCTCTGTTGGAATAACCAGTACAATATAAATAGATTATTGTCATTATCAAAATTATACACATAGAGATTCATTCCTCAGCTATGAGAGTAATTTTGCCAGGACAGCATCATTAACCTACTCTTTTTCAATTTCCAACTGTCAACGGGATCTTTAACATGCACAACCTGTAGCACACGGGGCCTCAGTTTATTGTCCAATTAAAGGTTTTAGTCCTCTGAATATTAATTTCCATGAATGACTGCACCTAATTCTAGCTGTCTGTGTCACTTTTAAGAATAAAATCTAGGATTATTACAGCTTGTCCTTCTTGCTTTCATCTTTTCAAAATAAAGTAATGGATACCAAATATAGAATTACACACAAATACTGATTCAAATGAAATCTTTTAGTCCATGAAATCGAGCAAAAAAGGCACATACGCTTAAGCTAAATTTTCATCTCAAAAATTGTACACCGATCAAAAAATGTCATGTGACTAATCATGAAATTCACGAACATTCAAAACACTACAAAATTATTTTTCATGAATCTGAGAATTCGTCATCTTCACCCACCAGATTTTCTGCAGCCACTTTCATCACCTCATCAGACTCTTCTTCATCCTTGACCTTTGAACTTTTGGAGTCACCAGCATTATCATTGATGCCTGTTTTTGTTTTTTCATCATCACTATGGTCATCACCCCTTACATTCTTTGAAGCCAGTTTCATTACACCAAGTAAAGCTCCAGCCGCATGCAGTTCTGAAAATCCAACGTCTTCTGAATTATCGGTGTCCTTGACCTGTGAACCTTCATCATTGACCTCTGAGGTCACACTGGAAGTTTTAGTCTCCTTTTCTTTTTCAAGATCTGACAAAGTTTTAAATTTAGGCAATTTCACATCAATGTCTTCTGTGTCTGCTTTTGCTTTGACCTCTGAACTTTCAACATCCTTGACATCAGAACTACCTTCTTTAGTGTCTGATTTCACTGAGTTTTTGACCTCTGAACTATCATTGTCCTTGACCTCTGAACTGTCTCCATCCTTAACCTCTGAGGTCACACTGGCGGTATTTGTCTCCTTCATTTCTTCAAGATCAGATAGAGTTTTGAATTTGGGCAATTTCACATCAATGTCTTCAGTTTCTGAGTTTGAGTCCTTGACAACGGAACTTCCATCTTTAGTCTTAGAACTACCAGCCTTTTCTGAAATTTTCGTATGTTCACTGATTTCAGAGCTTAGTTTATCAATTACACTTTTAAATGCTGAGTTTTCATTTGTCGCTTCTTTCACTGGTGATGATTTTTCTGGATTTTGATTGGTGGTATTACTGGAAACTGGAATTTGATTGGCTTCTTTAGAACCTTTTGAATTTGAAACACCACAGTCTGATTTCGACCCAGCAGCATAAGTGTGGTTGGAAGTTTGTTGTGGTCTGTTTCCAACGGGAGGCATCTTACTAAATATGTTATCTAACATTTGATTGGTTACTTTATTCTTGGTTGGTGATGCCTGAAAAAAAAGATCACAGAAAATGAATATCTTTAAACGTACAACAAATTATTCAATCTAAGCCTAGTTTTATAGCTGCAAATGGTTGGAAATCATAATGAAGTTTCTCCCCTAATTGTAACATCATAATAAGACAGTAATATAGTAATCACTACGTCGAAAACGAAATGCTTGGCATCTCTGTAGAAGTGAAGAATACCTGAGAATTTGAAGCTGACATTGATTTCGAGGAGACTGGAAGATCAAGTCCCTTCATCTCTTCAAACATGTTGATTGCGTTAAGTATCATTTCTTTGACGTCTGGTGATTTGGCTCGGTCTGCTGCTGTTTCAGCTCTCTACAAAAAAAGGTAGGTGAAATGAATTGAGTTCGACATCCTACTTGGCAGCTCTAAAAATCGATCTGTATGATTGACCAATCAGATGACTGGAACACTAAACTGAGATAGAAGTACATAGAAACTTACGTAATTTTTAATTGTGGGATCTATGCCAGCCTCTAATAACAAGTAGACTAGTTCATCCTGACCTCTATCTGCTGCCCAGTGTAACGCTGACCAATTGTTCTGAAATTAAATGAATTAATCTAATGAGGTTGGGCAATGTCGTTAAATTTTGCAAAGACAGCCACATTAGGCTACTGGCACTCAATCTCTATTTTCTTTCAGAGAAAGAACCATCATTGTTTTGTAGACTCACATATATATGAGAAACATTATAAGCTATGTGAACTCTCTGAAATGAGTGCAGAGCTGATAAACCTAAAACTAAAAGATGGAACTTACCGAGGCACCACAAGCATTTAAATCACACCCTGCCTCAATAAAGGCTGAAGCCACATCATAATGTCCATGGTAACTTGCAAACATCAGACCAGTAAAATCAGCCTGAAATAAAATACTATCATTGAAAAAACAATCTTAAATACACAGACACATTGATTTGCACCATTCCAATCTTCAGTCAGATGTCTGTGGTTGTTCTTTTACAAGTGATCACAGTTAAAAGGTTAGCTATTCACCTGCAATTCTCAAAGAACAGAAATAATTAATACTTTTCCATATCATTCTCAAACCACTGATCATTTTATGAAAATATTTTTGGCGCACTCATTTAGCCTTTGAATTTACTCACTTCTCCCAGATCACTTCCTCTAGCATTGATGTCACTTCCTGCTTCTATTAATAACCTAGCAATTTCACCAAGAGTTATCTCCTCTGTTTCCTTAGATCTGGCAACTTCATGTAGCGCTGTTCTGGAATCCTGCAAATTAAAAGTACAGAGTAAGAGTCAGACAACAATTGATTGTCATGTACCTTATTAAAGTTTGGAATCATAAGTATAAAAACAACAGGCTTCTTTCAAATCACAAGCTGAAACAAACTTAAAATTGAAATCAACTGCCCATGTTTATGTTTGAAATCGAACCCAGAAATATATTTGCTCCAATGTCTGTACCTACCTTATTAGTAATAGTTATATCACATTTGTTTTTCAACAAGACTTTGATAGCTTTATAATGACACCAGTAAGCTGCATTATGTAGAGCTGTCCAACCATTCTACAAGTAGAGATTAATATAGATTAATACAATATCAGACAACTATCAGAGTAGCGGCATTCTACAAAAACAAGAGGGGTAGGAGAGCCAAAGATTTTAAAATATCCATGTACCTATGCATGACAAAAACAGACATGTCTGACAAATATGACCAAATCAACCGCCCTGCAGTTTGCAATGAATGCTTAGCCTAATATCCATAAAACCTTGTCCAAATACAAATACTTTTGATTTCAAGCGTAACAGAAAATATGGATTTGGTCACCAGATTCCCCTGTTTGATAAATTCAAACACCCGCCTTGTCTTCTGTATCTATCTTACATCCAGCTGATATCAAAGTCTGCATAATCTCTGAATGTCCCTTCATTGCAGCATGGTGGATGGGGGTATTGCCTCGCTGGAAAATAGAATGCAGCTAATAAAGTGCCTGTATCAAATATCTCTTAAAATTGAATAAAATTTGCTGGAAAAATGCTTTTTAAAGATCTTTGTGTTCCACATCTTGTTTTTAAAATGTCAATAAAGTATCAAATTCTGTTATTATTATTGAAATCTTTTAAAAAAATAGAAAAAAACTTACAATATCTAAAACATTGACGTTACAGTTCTGTTCTAGCAGCAGACGTACAACTTCTGGTTTTCCCTGCGATGCCACATGGATTGGACAACAATCATGCTGTAACAGAGAAAAAATATGCTCCATCAAATTAAGTCAAAGCAAGGGCTAAAATTTAATTTCAAAAGAAATCGTCAAGTTAATTGGTTGAATTTAACCCAACTACATTGTCAGACCCCTTCTTTTTCAATCAATAAAACTTAGTGTCGTTCCTCCAACCTGTTTAAACTTTCACAACCATTTCAATGATGTTTCACTAGCAGGTATATCTAGTATTACGGACCAAGATATTTCATACTTTTCATTCATTTGTATTCATGATGTTTAAACATCAATTACTTACAGTGTAAGAGACCCAGTTGACATCAATACCCTCTTCAATATATCTCTTCACTCGTCCTACATGTCCAAAACCACACGCCTCCCAGAATGCTTCTTGACGTGATGCTGCTTGCCCCATACTTCAATCTAAAAATACAATGAAATAAAATGATACATATCGAAGAACACTCCTGCTCAACTTTTTTTTGGGGAGTCTGTGATACTCCCAAATTAGTTCATTGAATTCCCAGTGGTTTCAACTCAGAATTTCTCATCAAATCACACTGACTAAGACCAACTTAGTGATTAAGTAAGTGAGTGAGTGAGGTAATGTGGGGTAGGGACAAATTTACTTGCCTACCTTAAAGTTATAGTTATGTAGTGTTGATAGCTGTTTCCAAATAAACTTTGTGTAATGAAAAATGACCAAATAGGTTCTGGCCTATCCCCACTAATTACAGACCTTCTCACTGTACGATTTTCATAGAAAAACTGGGTTATTTAAGGGCAGAAATGTAAGAAAACCTATTAAAGAACGTACACTTAATTAATCAGACCTACTTGAACATCCAGTCTCTTATTCAAAGTTCTCACAGAGTTGTCTGCCCATTACATTTTTTCTTTCATCATTATAAAAATGAAGTGACCCCTAAAATAAACATTTTTGATCCAAAAAACATTCCGAATTAGAAGCTTAACTCATATCATTTTCTCTGATTTAGATTAAAATAAATGTTTATTTTTTGCGAGATATTAAAAGCAAATTATTTTCTGCTGAATGCATCATAAAAACTTGACTTCCGGTTAAATTTACACAAAAAAATTATTTTCAGTATTATTTACAATTTATTTATCATCCTTGATAAAACAAACTACCCATATAGATAGAAAATGGCAGAAGACCTCCAAGAGAATTTAAATACTTACAAAAACCAATTACAGCAGGTATAGATCTTCTTAAAACTTCATCAGATTTTTTTCAGTGTAGTGTCTATGATTTGCCAACCGCCCAACTTCAGTGTTTTGTTTGCTTAGTCTTTGAAACGTTGTCGATGGCTTCATTTCGTAATGGATTTGGACTAACCTTTCAATTTAATCATGACATTTTCTTTCTGATGATAATATTGTGACCTAATTTATCTTCAAGCCAACAAATGCAAGGTCCTTTCTTTGGACAATAGAATTCCACACTGAAGTTGAAAATTCATGCCATTTTTATTGACTTTCAGGTGGAGGCTTCCTTAACAACAGATCCAGACAATGAAGATCTACAGAAACTTCGCAATGACTTACAGGTGTGTATTTGTACCTATATTTTACCAAAAGTCTTTCATTTGCACATGGAAAAACTTATTCTAGTGTCTTTCTGTCAGTGGTCAAGTGATGTCTATAGCTAAGGCTTGACTTTTTGGAAAACGAAATCAACAGCAGCCAACGAATGAGTTTCATTCGAAATTCAACCATTTTATAAAGACCAATTGGAATTTAATGTCTTTTAGACTTGTTATTTTAGATATTGCTTACTTGCCGATTATAAAACCTCAAAAATTTTATGGGAGCGAGAAAATGAGTAAGTAAATAAAAGGTTTTACTCGTGGTTGCCTTGGTTACTTGATCAAGTGACTGGTGCAACCATTCAGAGGTATGGTACTAAGGATTGAGTTTAAAAAACTTTATCAAATATTCTTTCCCTTTTTAAATTCTTTTGTCTGTTTTATGGTAAAGATTTAAAAGGATTTTGGCTGGTAGGAAGGTCATAGGATCGTTATTTTCTACATTGGATAGAGAGACATGCTCAAGCGTTTAGAATGCTCACTCCAAAATGTCAAAAAATCTACTGATTATTGTGAAAATGCAATTCTTTCCAAAACCATATTGCTACCCAACCCTTTTCACCTAATTTTGGAAATAAGAATCCAAGTATACCAAATACTAAAGTCTCTATGTTTTGTGTGTCGTTAACAGGAAGTCATAGATTTAACAGTGGATTTGATCAGTGGGCAGTTAGCAGCAGCTACAGCTGAAGCATCTGGTAGTACAGGTGGAGAGGCGGAGTCAGCAAGCTTACCTTCACTTCATTGGTCAGTTGGTGACAAGTGTCTTGCCCCCTTTTCAGAAGATGGACAGTAAGTAGAATGATTTTGTTCATGAACACTGTGCACCAAAGCTCTCTAGAAAGCTGAAAATGTTTGTTTGTTTATGGATTTTAAGAAACAAAGCCTGCATTGAGCTGTTTGCCTTATCAAATCAGTTTATTTCAACTCATCTTTTATCATGCCAAGATTTGAACAGTAGTAAATGATAGAGAGATACATGAGTAAAATATTTAAATATTAATTGTAGATATTATGAAGGGGTAGTAGAAGAGATATTAGATAATGGTTCCTGTACTATCACATTCAGTAACTATGGCAACACAGATATTACACAGGTAAAGGATTAATAGTGTAGTTAATAGAATTACTTTTTTCAAACAAGTGGAATCTTAAGTTAGTCATTAGACCAATAAAATGCAGAACAATGTGATTTAAAACTCTATTTCCATGATGTACAAGCTCAATATCAACATCTTATTATATTTTGTAGGTTAGTTTATTGAAGCCAGTAGAATCTAGTGGAGCAGGTGGTTCACGTTCAGATGATAAGAATAAAAACAAATCAAAGTAAGTCTCTATTTTTTTTTCTTTCTTATTTTGCTGTCGATGCTAGCAAGAAACTGATGAAAAGAAAAACTAGGCATTTTGGTGTTTGTCGATCTAGCATGAGACCAAAAGTCGATTTTGCATCAAAGAATGTTTGCAAGAGACTGATAAAAAGAAAGTGTAGAGGACAAAAAATAAATTCTGCATTTGGAAAATGGATCGATCGAATAGAGCCATCATCAAAAAATTTGTTGTGTTTTTTAGGAAAGATTTAATAGCAGAACAAAGAGAATATAAAAGAAAGAAAAGTCAGAAGAAAGCTCAGAGATTACAGAAATTAGAAGAAGAAAGAGAACAAGAGAAGAATAAATGGCTAACATTCAATGCCAAGGTCAGTCAGGATTGTTATTTTGAATTAGTTTAACCCTGTCAACAGTAATGGCTTGGACAATAAATCCGTGCTACAGGCTGTGCACGTTAAAGATCCCTCGACAGTCGAAAATCGAAAATGAGTAGGCTGATGCTGATGTCCTGGCAGTGTCCCCCATTGCACATTGCAATCAGGTGAAGGAAAGGAGGTCATATTTTCCTTATGTGCTATGATAATTTGCTCAATGAAAAACTATACAAATTCTTTCTACTTTCAGACATTTTCTAAAACGAATAAAGGTCGAGTAAAGAAGAGTATATTTGCCACATCTGATATTACCAAGGGTAAAGTTGGGGTAGGAACTTGTGGAGTAAGTGGTAAACCAATGACAGCTTATAAAGGTGGAGAGAAATGGAGAAAATAAACTAACACTTATATACTGATTTGTATTTGAGCCCTCAGACAAGGTATTCTGAATCTGTAGGCGTGATAACTTGGTACTCTCAGCTAATCATGGTTATTTTGTCTCAAAGCCTTCCCATTGTATATTTTTTGTATATTTTTGTATGTAATGTAAATAAATGTAAATAAAATGATAACAGTTTTCCATCTAAACTAAAATGTATCTCTAGACATCACCTGTATGTAATGTAGTACACACCAGTGTAGAGTACACTCCAGTCTACACACCCTAGTACAGAGTGCACCTGTGCATAGTCCATACCTGTATAACACCTGTGTATAATGCACACATTTGTATGGTGCGCACCTGTACACAGTATCCAACAGTATATAGTACATACCCGTATATAGCACGTACCTGTTATAGTATATAACAGTATATAGTACACAATAGTATATAGAACGCACCTGTGCATAATACACACCAGTATATAGTGCGCACCTGTTATAGTAGGCAACTGTATATGGCACGCACCTGTATATAGTACACACCTGTTATAGTAGGCACCTGTATATGGTAAGCAACTTCTATAGTAGGCACCTGTATATGGTACGCACCTGTTATAGTAGGCACCTGCATATGGTACACACCTGTTTATACTAGGCACCTGTATACAGTACATACCCGTACATAGCACGCACCTGTGCACCTGTTATAGAGGCATCACTATATAGTACGCACCTGTTATAGTAGGCACCTGTATATAGTACACAATAGTATATAGAACGCACCTGTGCATAATACACACCAGTATATAGTGCGCACCTGTATATGGTATGCAAGTGTAAAGCCCTCCCTTGGAAACAATTGGCTTTCAAGACACTTCTGCAAGAGAATTACCACGCTAGTCTTATCCTGAACGCATTAAAAATCAAGAGTGCGACTTGAATGCCCTGAAACTGAAAGACCCCAGCCAATCCAAGCATTATGAGGGGGCCAGATTAGAGCAATACTGATGAGGGTCATGAACTCTAGTTTAAACACTCTCATACAATTGCCGTTTTATCATCCTGTCAGGCATTTATCACTGAGTCAATATCGTTCAAAAATCCTTAAAGATAGATTCCCATATTCATATTAGAATCCCGATGTTAGCCTAGCCCGACAAATCTGGTCCAAACCCTTTGAAGCACCACCCACCTTTTCAACAGTCAATACGTTAATTCCATTCACGATAAACAGGGCGATAAATATAAACATGACTGACTGACAAACAATGAGTAGAATCAATCAATACAAATAGTAATTAATCCGAAACCTACTGACTCTTACCTTGTCTCACAGAATCTTAGACTTTCAAAAAGGGGCAAAGCTAAAAATTTACAGGGTCGACTAAGTTCGGGCTAGTCAAACCACTCCTTTTCTCATAGAAACGCCACGGGATAACTGTCCAATATCGCAACAAGGGACATAAGAATGAATTAGTTTCGGACTTATATCTTTGGTTCCCGGCTCGATATTATTCGATGTATTCTGATCTTGATCTTTAAATAATTTCCAGATTGTCAAGGCATAGGACGGAGATTACCGTATTGAACGTATGAAGACGAGCAATGCTTTGTATTGACTTATTTTGCAAGGTAAGACGCTGTTTTCACCAACTTCTAAGGTAATCGCTATGTGGGCTCTCTGAAAACGGAAGCAGAGTTGACAAAGACAATCATAAACAGGCATAAGTGTTTTCTCCTGTTAAGTTCGTATCCTTACTTTGTCTCATACGCCTCAGAAGGGAGACGTTGACAACTATTTCCAAACTGACAGCCCTGATGAGGCGTCTATATCCGAAGCACGTCTCGACAGCGTGTGATGATCTTTATAAAATAGAGAGACAGGTGTCGATGTATAATCTATTTACATGTAATCAATTGTAATGTCAATACGATTCACCACCAGCAGTGTGATATCGCTAGCTGGTATCGTAGTATTGATACAACATGCTAATGATATCATACTTGGATTGGCACAAACCGACATAACACCCCATGGAGTGGCAAAAACGACATAGACTGGCTTAGAACAACTTGGAAGGCATGGGGCAACTAAAAGCGACACAAAACGACTTGCTATACGACAAAAAGCTACTTGAAACGTCTCTCTACACGAGAAAAAACGACTTACAACGCCTTGCTATACGACTAGAAGCGACTTGCTACACCACAATAAAGCGACTTAAAACGCCTTGCTGTAAGACAGAAGCGACAAACGGTGCAAGAAAGATTTCCCCATAATATTTACTGATATATCTACAGTGATATCTAGAAACCATCCAATTAAATCTTTAGATATTGATTGAATCTTTAATTAATCGGTGACATTTAATTGTTAATTAATGTGTGAATAAATCTCTAATCAGAACAGGGACTTAACGTTTGTACAGGATCATAACTACACGTTTTTCTAACTCTAGCCAACTTACATCTTGGCACATACGTAAACGATGCAAAAAGAACCTGGACATTGATATACTTAGTAGGCCATCTCTATTTATGTACCTATTGTGATATATTCTATTAAGTTCGATATTTTTCATCAAGGATCGATTAAAAACAGATTAATAATAAGGGATTATCAACTCAATGGACACCTATGGACATATTGAAAAGCATAACATAACGTAACTAGGCCCAGACTATTCTTGAATGAAACACAGACGAGAAAATTCTTCAAAAAATCAGGCCACCGTGTAACCCATTTCCCTTTGAAAAGTTTTTCTTTACAAGTTTTTTTCTTTTTCTTTGCAATAATGGTCTGATTGACTAACAAATCGGTGAATCGGTGAATCATTAAACTGTTTATAAGGTGATTGCGTGTTTGTGACCCAAAAGAACTGGCAGAAATGAACTAGCAACGCAGGGTAGGACTGGATAGGAATTAACTAGCAGCACAGGGTAGAAATGAACTGGTAACACAGGGTAAAAATGAACTGGTAACATAAGATAGATGAAGGCAATTACAAAACCACAAATGTGTGCAGCGTTGATAAAGAGCATTGATAATGGGATTTGACATGATCTAACCCTCCTAGTAAGGCACCCAAACCAAAGATGATCCTCGGTAAGTGCTCAAAACTTTTATTGAAGCTATAGGAGACGTTCTGACCCTTGGCCCACGACAGTCATCACACCAAATAGTCCAGGTTCAAAACATCAAATTTGTTTTGGGCAAAAAAACAAACTAAATGTGTTATTGATAGTTTAATGGGGTATATGATATGAATATAATGAAAAGGTATTGTAACCGGGCCAATATAACAACGGTATATATCATACTCTATTGATACTATAACAATACACGACAAATTCAATCACATATCGACAACACTTGATTCATGTTTTTCTCTCGTTTACTCATTAATTCTACATTATTTTTTAGTGTTTATCAGACACTCCAGTAGTCACTGTCAGTTGAACCTTATCAGAAGGAATTAGACCCCCCAAAACGTAGATCCTTGCCGAGAAGAAGTAGCTAGCTAAGTAAAAACAGGGATAGCTTAAACTCTACGTAGACAGTTAAGTTAACTGTTGTTTTTTTTTGTGCCGTATCCGAAGGTATACCTTGAATTTTTGCATCAATTTATAGTGTTAACATGGCCATGCACAGTCACTGACAGTTGTGCCTTATCAGAAGGGATTGGACCTAAAACTCGAAACCTAATCGGCAGAAGAAGTTAGACTAGTATAAATTGTGTTTTGTGGACAAGAAAGAATCAAACAGCTTTAGTCATTATTCTGCTGTATTCTCGAAGATGAAATTGGATGATCGTTTGAGATCTCTATTGTGAATTCGATCAAAATGTGGAATTCCTATTTTATTTGGACACTTAATATAAGAATTGTTTGCTACATGGTTTGGTATTGGTAAATGGTTAAAGTAAAGCCAACTTTAATAGGTATATATGGGCATTAATATTTAAAAGAAAGCCAACTTTAATCAGGTATATTGTTAAGATTAAGTTGATAATCTGATAAAAGGTTTGAAAAGTTGATAATAACATGAAATATTCATAAACATTCTCTCTTTAACCTTGATATACCATAGTGGGACCGACTCCATATCTCATAAATACACGCTACAGTTTAATAGACAGCACTTAACTATCTAACAGTAGAATAGATCAGGTTCGAATCCTCCCCAAGGTAAGAAAAATTACATCTGAGCTGTGAGTCGCTAGTGAGTAGGTGCTATGGATTCGAATCTTCAAGGTAAGTAAAATTCTGAATTCACGACAGCTCAGTCGCTAGCCATTAGGTGCTATAAGTTCGAGTCCTCTCCTCAAGGTAAGAAAAGTTTTCATTACTGGCACTACGGCTTGCCCGAAATATCTGGCCCTATCCGTTCCTCTGATAAAGTGATGATATACGGATGGGGTATCACGGGTAACGGATGACGCCAGATCTCTCTGACTCCGCTATGGTAGACCTTTATAATCATGCAGCTAAGTCGCTTGGGTCCTCAAGGTAAGATCTGCTCTGTTGGTAGCCATTGGTGTCTAAGGGTTCGAATCCCTGTCAAAATCAGGATAACAGCATAACAGAAGAGACAATCAGTCTGACTTACTCTAGATAAGTTTGCACCCTAACAAACTATATATTTTCCTGTATTATTATATTATTCTATTTTATGGTCTCAATGACACAATCTAGGACCTTCAATAGTGTTAAAAACCTCCCATAAACTTAATTTTAACATAGATTTATAGCTTGTAAACATTCTTCTTTCATTTCAAAACTTCACTATCCAATATCAATGGTTTGATACTACGTGTGGTAACTGACAATTTTATCTAACGTGAATGTCGTATCTATACACCAATAGGTCGGGCTACAAGGGGGTCACTCAGTATCAGTCATTGAAGGGGGTGATGAGTGATGCCACAGGTGAAAAAAAGTAACATTGTAAGTGTTATAATAAAAAATCTCCACAGACGTTCACTGGCATCTCAGCTTTACATAACTACACACTAAAGTCAGGCATAACTGGTAAATGCACTTAAACACTTGTCACTCAGTCAGCAGATAAACGTGAGGGGGACAGGACAAGGTACTTCATTTCTGGGCAACTATTATATCTTAAATAAAGTTTATCAGAAAACGAAGATTAAAAGATTTATAAAACCTCTCAACTGTTATATTTTATCTGTATTATAACGCTATTGTCTTATTTAAAAATCCGTTTTGATAAAGCAGTTGACTAAATAGAGTTAAAATAATTATTTATATCGTGCCTTATTGGCTCATATCTTTAAGATCAGACCCCTACCTAGCAAGATGCTCTCGATTGGGCTAGCTACCGATCTGCTTTAGATTCTTAAATCAGTACAGCAGACAGCACGGGTTTGTATTTAAAAAATGTGCCTATTTGACTATATTGTGCTTATATTTGAATGTTTTGCATCTGTGTACACGATATTGGAAGAACCCTCTTTGAAATCCTTTTAAGAATCGTTTTTCAAGTTTTAATAAGTTATTTTCACATTGATTTTTTCAGATTTCAAGACTGCGGATCAGAAATGGTAAATTGTGAAGTGTTTCGTGATAATTTTGGATAGATTTATAGAGAGATCTCGACAAACCAGCGACCAAACCTTGAAAAATAAATAAATCCTGTCCATAAATTACGGAGATAACTAAAATATTTCATAACTTGCGTCATATATCTTGTCTGGACACAATCACTGTTGGAACGACAATCGAAACTAGTTTTGGACAAGTCAATCTCAAGTTTGTGTAAAGGTTTCTCAATTTGTGTTGACCGACCGACCGACCGACCGGATATTGTGATCGGATATACATTTGCCCCCATCCTAATAGCTGGGAATGTGAGAGTGATTAAACATAGGAAAACTGTCTGTAATTTTCGTTATAAATAAGTATTCCGAGATGAGTAAAAGAGGAGGTCGAATGGCTCTGGCCAGTGCTGGTGGACGCTCCAAAGTTACACGTGCGGAGTATGATGACAATGTTCTACGCGATAACGTGCGCATGGACAATAAACACATGCGTTCGTTAAAGGTTCACGAACGCGCCAAAAATGTCGTCAGCAGGACAATCGACAAGGAGGCTTTGATGTTCAAACAGAGACAATCTGCACAGAAAACACGTTTGCCGGGATTGAATGCCCAAGGACAGAGGCAACGTGGATTGAAACAAGATACAACGAATTGGATTCCTGATGTTAGTTTGTCTGCACCTAGACAAGAAGTGATCCATCAAAATGACACCCTTTCTACCTTGGTCAGTAGTCAATCCCCAGTGGACAGAAAATCCCCACTTTCCCCTAGAGACCCCTTCACACAATATGGACACTTGTCATCACCAGGGGTTACCACTGGACAGAGGAACGGGCATTTGTCACCGGAAGTGTCACAGAAGTCTGACACGAGCGAAAAATTCAAAATACCTAATGGAGTTGCCGATCCAAAAATGGTCACCCCTCAACGAAGGTCAATGCGTATTGGAAGCAAGGAAAGTTTCGACGATCCTTTCGATTCGAACCCACGTTTAAAAAGTGCTTCAAGAAAGTTATATTTAGATTCTAAGGGAATCCTGCGCGAAGAGACAGTGTTCGATTTTCTTAGCAAACCCAAGCATAGTACCGAACTTAAAAAACGATTGGACACGAGGATTAGGCTAGAAAAGGAATTCACTCCTCGCCGCTCATTAAGCGAAAAATCAAGTACTAAAACTCAACCGCTTGGATTAAAAACCACAGGAACCATGTACAAGAACCCATGGTAGGACTGTTAAGGAATCAACTATTACAAGACCTACGCCTAACCACGCACATATTGTGGACGTGATGGCTGAGCAGATGTAATAAATGTTCCGATTAAACAATATAATATAAGCTATGTGAACTGATCGAGAGGGGTTGCTAGCTGACAATCCATTCTGAAAGAGTGAGCATGACACGCTGGCAACACAAATAAATCAATATTTATTGATGATAATATTGGTATACTTATGATTTTAATCTAATCCTTACTGCTAGCACACAGTTACACCATCTTGTGTCCAAGCAGCCAGTGAAATGGCTGTTGCCAGGTGACGTCACACAAGTAATACGTCTATGACACTTAGTATTCAAAGTGTTAATTAAGCCATAATTCCCAGCTAAACAATTGCAATTGTTGTATATCAAAATTAATAAAATTATGATAATAACACAGCACGTTGATATAGAGTTTACGGCCCAGAAAGATCCCAGAATATCCCCTTATTTTTAACTGGTTTAATTGAGTCCTCCTCATTTAGTGTATCCACAGCCATCTGTAATATAAACATGACAGGTTTTTCTTTTATCTGTAACTATACGGTCAAAGCCTTCTAGACTGGCATCCCACGAGACTAGTAGGAAATACTGGTCTAGACGGTAATATACTACTTTCTACCAACTATAAATATCATACTTTTAACGTTTTTCTCTGGTTCGACTATTAATAATATTAACTAGGCCTAACTAGTGTCTAAAACAATACAGTCATTGAAACATTTAAGATGGAGTGTTACTCATCACTTATTAAATCATACCTGTTTAGCATCAGCATTCTTCATATCTCCTCTTAACAATAGAATATTAATCAGTTGATCACTTCTTATATCAGGATGACTCTTTACTAAACCCTGCAAAACACATCAACACATTTAATTACACATAGACACAATAGTAAACCCTGCAAAACACATAAACACATTTAATTACACACATAAACACAATGGTAAACAGACACACATCTAGACTAGTGTCTATGACAAGCTATGACTAGACCACATGTGAAAAAAGTGCGCATTATAATCGCAATTATACAGTATCACAAACATACAGATACCATATATTTGCGTGTATAATGCGCACTGTTTACCCTATTTATTGAAAACAGGCAAAGAAAACAACCACCTACCATAACCTCTAGTGACAACATGGAGGTATCTTTTAGTTTTAATATCTCAGCTATACTAGACAGTACATCCCAGGTCTTAGTTTCCTATAATATAGAAATATAACACTGATAATTTCTCTTTTATATTACTTTTAGTGACAGGTGACTCTCAAAGAACTGGACCTGGCATCAGAATTGTTCTTAGATTGAGGAGGATTCTAGCAGGCTACTAGACGACAATCCAACATGACTGGTCTATATTCCACTGTCCTAGCAGATGACAATCCAACTAGCTACCGACTGAGCTATTCCACTGTCCTAGCAGATGACAATCCAACTTACTACTGACTGAGCTATTCCACTGTCCTAGCAGACGACAATCCAACTTGCTATTCCACACCTTGATATAATGGAAGTTGACTTCCAAACTTCATGTAGGAAATAGAATGTACACTCAGATATATAAAACAGTAAAATATAAACTTACTGAGCGAGGTGCCCACTTAATAAATAGTTGTTTTAACTGTTCTCCTTCTCGTGTTATTTTATCAGCTGAGTTCCGTCGTTCATCATATGTTTTAAACGACAGTTTTCTACAAAATAATATACATATAACTTGGTCAAAATATACGAAACCCATATCCATACTTTATTAAAACTCTAGATACCAGAGTTCCAACTCCAGGCTGCGTACTCATGAAACAAAACTTAACTTCTATCACTGTTTCTAGGATATCCTAGTGGTAAGATTGTTTCAAGAGAACGCCGTCAGCTATTACCATGAAATTTATCAGTAAATAAGTAACTAAACTTCACATACTTTCCTAATAAAGCCCGAATATATTCCTTCAATATTTTAGTCTGTCCTATCTCTACCAGGATATCGAAGGAAGCTGGTCGTAAATGTTGAAAATCACTGTTATAATCTGCCCAAGTTTCACATACAGTATCAATAGAATCTGTTTTATTCATCCTGTAATACACAGAAAATATAGCATCAGATAGAGTTTTACATCCTACTTTCTGCACCATGTGGACTAATGAAGATGGACAACTCTAGGCAGTGTACAAATTTTGGAAATTTTGCCGGGACAGACGCATTAGCCTACTCTTTTTCAATTTCCAACTGTTGAGGGATCTTTAACTTGCACAGCCTGTAACATACAGGGCCTTGGTTTATTGTCCCATTTGTCTGACTAGATGTTTTAGTAGCCCCTCCAACCTTCATCATAGCAACAAAAATAAATACAACTTACCAATTTCTAGTAAGAAGTTCATTAAAACAGTTACTGTTTCTTAAATCAAGAAAAAATTCTTCCAGAATCAGAGTAGCCCTGAAATAAAAATGAAACAAAATTAAAAGTTAGAGTTGTATTATTGCTGTCGTTTTGGAGAAACTTTTGCCAATAAAACCTCCTATAAAGTCAGAATTAACCTTTACTGTGCAGGATAAGAAAAATGGACAAGCTTCCCTGTCCCCTAGTCTCACCCCTCTCTTAGCTTCACCCTGTCTCTACCTACCCAGTTCTAGAGAGAGTAAGAAAGGTCTCAGTGAGCTGTTGAAATCTGTCTTTTCTGATGTCACTTCCTTCCTCAGCCTCTTCTTCATCATATTCATTTTTTAAATATCGTTTCCTTAACTCCTTCATATAATCTCCAAACACACAGCAGTTATTAGTATTAGCTATCTGAAATAATACAGATATTATTCTATTCCATTCTACATCATCACAACGTCAAACTATTACTAACTGCAATAGCAACCTTTCTTGTATCACAAAATGCAGCGATTCGATTGGATTGTATGCCAGTGAATGCAGCCAATCAGAGCTCTCAGAGCTCTAACTGAAAATTGAAATGACGTAATTCTATAGTTGGATGGACTATAAAGACGAATACTTACCATATAATGTACGAAATATTTGGGTTCTCCTCTCGTAGCTTGATGTTTATCTCGATAGATGGTGATAACATCTACAATATACAACAATATTTCATACTAATAGTTCACATTACAAGCTTACTTTACTCACGCCTGTAATATTTAATATCTAAAACACAGCTGAAGCAGGAGATGAGCTCTAGTCAATGAGTTTGTGGACATATCAAATCCAAAATACAACTCCGAAGAAAAGAAAGGTAAAAAACACAGAGATGATCTCTAGTCAATGATGATATATTTAACTATGTTTGTGGATGCATCAAATCCCACCAGAATTTCTACTAGAGACCAAAGAAACCAGTCTACTTTCAAAGCCAAAGAAAGGTCTAGGAATTTATGATACATACTTTGATAATCATTGGCAAATGTATTAAGTTCATCCACAAATAACTCTAAAACTTTCTTCACTAGATCTTGATTGATAATCTGGGCTACTTGTAGCTGAAAATATAATAAACAAATAATCAACACGAGACAGGGTCAAATTAAATAGATTGAAAATAATATAACCCCTTGTGTGATTTGTTATAAGGATAGAAAATTTAATAACTTACGTTTTGTTCCATCATTTGAAAGAGTATAAAAGGAAGAGAGGTGTTGTAATGTCCCTCACTGTCTGTTTCTGGTGGACCATCTTTATACCAGTCCTATCAACAAATAAACATTACTTTCAATTAACAAAATACTTACAAACAATTCAAACTTGGCTATTAGGTATTTATATTCATAAAACAACAAGTAATTATCTATAAACAACAATAGCATTATATTACAATAGTTTTTCAATAACAACCTAGTTATATGAAGTTATTGAGGAATCTGTGTATAATGCCTTAACTGTACGTGACTATAATTCCTACCTTTAAGTCTGTTTTTAAACTATTATTCGTCCATTCTCCTACATTTTTCTTCATATTTTCTAAATACTGTTTCTCTAGCAACTTGATATACTTCGCTTCTAGTAAGGGAGGCAACTCCATTTCTTTTATATCAATATTTAATTCAGGGTGTCGTAACAATTCAGGAGAACTGAAAATATAAGGAGAGATAAAACCTGCATGGACGACACGACACGTCAAAAGTGTTTAACTACAAAAAGCAACAGCTTAAATATGGAAATACATCAACTTCGAGATAAGTTTTGAATCAATTATCAATTAAACACAGGTAGCTTTGACAGCATAACAACTGGGAAATATGGATGTATGTATCAACACTTTGAGTAATTCGGTAAAAACATAACTTACTCGTAAGCATTGACCCATTGTAACAATGACACGATTTCATTTCCCTCTAGTTCTTGATTTATTAAATCTATCAGCTGAAAATATCAAATTATTTATTACGAAGAGTTCTAATATTGTTGTGGTAAATCAAATTTTTACCTGTTATTATAATCATCTAGAAATCTTTTCGTAATTTGGAGATGAAGTCCCCCCCCCCCCCCCTTCCTATAGTTCAAATACTACTTAAATCAACCCCCAAATACACCCCTCCAACCCCCACGTCATTAATAAAAGCAAGAATTCATTATTTAAGTGTTAATTTGTAAAGAACTTTCATGCAAAAGCAGTATATAGAAAGATTGAAAATTGAGAAGTTATTTGTGGTCTTTAAATGAAAGGTAGCTTAAATCGAGTTACTTCCCTTCAATTAGTATTACTACTGCTATAGAAGGTATAGCATGAATTTAAACAGTGGAATTGAACTGTTTGAAACTGATGTTGCTGGTCTAATTAATCATATGAAACTTATGTCCAAGTGGGGAACTTGAGATGAGCTTGTGTCAAAGCTGGGCTAGTCCTTCCTTTAAACAAATACAGTTGATGAACAGGAGTAAAGAATCTAGAGAATCTCTGGACTTACGTGAGCTGACAGTGCTGTATGGTACATTCGAAGATAACGGTTCACGATATCATATTCGGGTGGAAACAGGGGAGGTAACATAGTCTGAAAAAAATTGATTTATGAAATGAAAAATATGAAATATACAGTAATAGCCATGATCCTTCTATGACCTATAATAAACAGAAGTTATATATAAATAAAACAATTTTATAGATAGATAATTCTAAAGTTCTGATTGTTGAAAATGGTTACCTTGACAACTTTCAGATCATCAATCATAAGTTGACGTGTTAATTCAAGATGGCGGACTAGCCACATATTATTGGTCTGTCTATCTTCTAGCTGGGATCCTTCAATTCTAAAATAAACATTACAGGAATAAAGAAATAAAGCAATCAGTGGATGTGAACAATACAAAAGGCATCAGACGCTCAACAAATTTCAAAATGCGACAGACAAGAATTCAGGGCTCTATGGGCACAATCTTCCAATGATGTACTGAGTGAACACAATGCAAAGTGGTCTCAGGTGCTCAAGAAAATTCCAAACGACATTTTTAAACAATTCTTTTGCCATAACATTAACAAACTTACCTAGCAGCAATGGCCTGTTCCAGAACTTTAAAACCTTGTAGCCGCCATTTTTTAGGTCTGCCTGGTGGACTGAATCCTGTTGATGCCTCTTTTTTAATCCAGGCCTGATCAAGTCTAAAAATAGTAACACTGTATCAAGTTTGGGAGAGTCTCAAATGAAAATTTGACAGAACACTTGGCAATGATTTAACAAGGTTAACAACTTAGGTTAATGAGGATCCTTTCTACCAGCTGGCCCTTCGTCAAACGTATTGTCATTGATTTTACAAGGATAACAACTTAGGTTCTCTAGGATCCTTGACCAAGACTCTTAGTATGGATCTTGGTCTATCCGTACCCAATTACAGCTGGGTCAACCAGAAAGTTTTAGCATGTCAACAAGTAAACATTACGTACCTTTCTTCTCTTTCTATAATTCTAAGAGCAGTAACTATTAAAGTTGGTTCACGTCTGACTGATAACAATACACGCTGTAGAATAATCCACAATTGTTTTCCTAAATCGTTGGATAGCTTATTGACATCAGTGAAATAATTCTTTAATGTCTGTAATAAAAAAAAGGTGCTTTTTATTAAAGGAGAAAATTATTGTAATTTGTCAATCTTGTAGGTAAGCTATAGTATTTTTTGAAGAAGAGTATTGTTACTTTTATCCTCTTTGAATCTACTAACTAACCAATCTTTAAGGCTCAATAAAAAAGTTTGGCATGCTTACGTTATTATCTGTAGGACTTTTCTGAGGTTGTTTATGAAGCTCCAACAACAAATCATCTCTTGACATCTCTAGATCTGTTAAACTGAAATAAAATATAACAGAATGAAATGAAATTGAATCATTATCACTTAGTGTTTACAGACTTTCTGTTGAGGCCTCTGATTAGCTGTAATTGCTAGAGTATAATCCAATCAAATCCCTGCATTTACATACTTCTGTGAAACACGAAAGGTGACTATTGCAGTCACAACATAAGACGAAGTTCGTATCTTGACAATGTGAAGATGTAGGGAAAGTAACTAACTGTTTATGTGCCTGGAGAAGTTTTCCATCATTAATTAAATCTCGGGTTCTTTTCACACTTTCTGGCACCGTAAAGATATGGTTGATATTTTCTTGTGCTGCCGCCAACTGAAAGAGAGGATGGAGTTCACAGATCCAGAAAGACATTGCAACTTATTAGATAATGTTTCTATTCTGTGTTTTTAAAGTGATTTATTACATGGGTAGCTAAAAACCAGATTTCTACAAATTCTTACATTGAGCTGAAGGTCACAGATTCATGCATTAAGTTGGTGGGACCAGCTATGTACTGAAGTAACCCAAAGCTCCGTGCAGCTGCAGACAGAAAAGCCATCCCCAAAATGGGATTTTGAAAAGAGTAATATTGAACGGTAACATGCCTGACAGAATTTATTATTCTCTGATTTTAAATCTTTTAGTTTCTTGTGTAATGGTTGTACACCTTTATAGGTAGTCTCCATTTGTTCTAAACTACAAAATAGAAAAAAATTAACACATCAAAAGGAGGTCTTTGTACTACGTTCTGCTCCTCTTGGACTAATGAATATGTGCAGTGTGCAGTTGTGCATAACAGACTGGGAAGAAACTAAGATCAAAGAATCTTTAGGTATAACCTCAGGTTAGTGAGCAAGCGTCTAACTCACTGAGCCACCATGACTCCCTTTACCAATATGAAATTAACATATTGTCGAATATATTTTGTTTCCATACCTTTCTTTTATTTCGTAGACATCTTGTAAAGCTGATTGTAACTGGTTCAAACCTGTTCTAACACCATCTAACTGAGACTGTACAGCTGTTTTCAACATGGCTTCCACTGACGCCTTCTTCCTAGCAACTCTTCTCTTATACTGATCACATTTCTCTAGTTGTTCTGGTCTCTAGAATAAAAATTAAAACGTTACAATACTCTCTCTCTATTGTTAGTAGGTCAGAGGTGACAAGGACCATTTCAATTTTGAGTCAGGTGTCTGTGGGACTTGCAATTCCATTACAGGCCTATTACTTACCTCTTTACAATCCCAAGAATACATTTTCAAAAGATTTTCTCAATAACATACTAAATTCAAAAAGTTTACCTGGAGAAGATTAGCAACATGTTTAGCTGCTGCAGCTCTGGCTTCAGACTCCAGACGTCCCAGATCTAACGGTGCTGGTGCTGGGCCGTGTTCATCATCAGGGTTACTCACATCTACTGTGTAGTTACTCATCTTGGTTTAGGGTGATCTCTTTCAATACTGAATGAAGGAATAAATGAATGAATGAATGAATGAATGAATGAATGAATGAATGAGTTAAATTCATCACAGAATAGGGAGTTCTCTTTCAATAGCTTACTGAATGAATGAATGAATGTATTATGATAAAAACATGATTAGCCTTCATGACATAAAAATATCTAGGACAATTCGATAAATGTAAACAAATCATAATAATAAATCTTTCGTTTCGTGTCCATTTTTAGAATTTTTCGCTGGCAGAAGTATCTGTAGATAATTTTCCAGTGCATGCAAATCTGCTTATTTGCTGTCAGATCTAACTTTAGATTCAGATCATACAAATAAAAACGTAAAACAAAGTAAAGTTAAGAAAATTAATAACAAACCTTAAAAATTATAAATTATTGTTCCACGCCCATGACGCCATATTTTTGTACAGAGCCTCAGATGAATTGAAGTTCTCTTTTCGAACCATACACTTTCTAATTTTTGTTCATTTTGGTTCATTTTGAAATAATTCTCGGAAACTTTAAAGCGAATACAATACTCATTGAAATTATAGAATATTTCAGCGTTTTCTTTAATGATTTTCTATTAAAATAAGATTTTTGTCAGCTGTCAGTTGTAAAGTTCACTACACCTTCAAAGCACCTATATTCGTATCGTCTCGTCTGCTCCCCAGTCTACCATAACAAAGTAATAAAGATCGCTTATTTCTATGTAAGAATTTTAATGACATTTCTTTTCTGTACACTTTACAAAGGCTCAGGGACCCAATAAACATTTGAGAATGTGTAGGAGTCCGTCAGATCCTTTATTTTCATTTAATACGGCCCGATCAGCACTGACAGCAGGGTCTCTAGCTAGAGGCCAAACAACTGTTTGTTGGTTCTTCCAAAGTTTCCAGTCGTTGTGATTGTTTGACAGTGCATTGAGGTAGAGTGAGGTTATTGATCTACAAAGCTCATCCCCCCCCCCCCCTCCCCTGATGCCACTTGCTGATTGTTATTTGCATACAATAGTCGACTGGATTTGACAATAATTAATGTTGTCTTATTTTTACCCTTCAGATTACCTCCCCTTGAATTGAATAAGCCTACCGATAATCGAGATGCCAGATGGATTGCTGTCGATATGAAGGTACGATTTTAATTCCACAGCCAGTGCTTTCTAAATCTTGTATATTGATATCATGTTTTCCATTTTATTCTATAGTTAAAGGCCTATATACCGGTACTGAGAAATAATTATTTAACTGTGGTCTGATTCATTCAAGGCGTATATATATATAAGATTTACCTCCCTTTAATAGGAACTGTGTGTTGTGCATGTGCTAAGGCGTATTAACAGATCTCCTCGTCACGGGCCAAAATTAGCCCCTCATGTGAATTTGATTAATAATAAAGCGTTGAACCCAATTATTAATTACAGATAAATTAAATTATATCCAAACAATAACGATAAAAAAAGAAACATTTTATTTTCTCTGACTCAAACATGCTACAAACATGACAATGAATAAAACCAACATTTTGATAAGATGATATATAAGATTTATTGTACACACCGGTTGTAAACTGAGTGTAGGTACGGTACGTATATATTATAGAAGACATGGGCGGCTCTAAAGGCTCAAAAATTAGTGGAAATGTGCATTTTTTCATCGTAAAGAATACTGTTTTAAATGACATAAAATGCTTGAGTTAAGCCCTTAATTTAGGCCTACATAGTTTTATCCACGATGCCCCACCCCTCCCGAATCCATAGTTTTATTCCCGGTGCTTCCCCACCCCTCCCAAATCCATAGTTTTGCAGCAGCCACTGGCAGAAGTTCTATATTTCGACATATTCCCCTGAAGTTATGGCACGTATTATGACAAAGATATCCTGGCCCCTAATTCGTTAAATAAAGCACACAGTGATAAAATAATTAGATCGGCTACAAGTCTTGGTCTTCATTGAGAGGATCTTTAATAATCCGCTGATGGATCTCAACAAATAACGGTATATAGGTGACGAAATCCATAAAATCTATCAAACCCCTTCCTTCTCTGTTAAATTTACTCAGTACCTGAAATATAAATGCGTAAGTAAGTGTGTAAGTAAGTGTAAGTCAGTAAGCACCAACCAAATAAGACGATTGCATGCCATGTGAATGGGTACCGATATTTGTTATATCATTTGATAAGGGCAAGTAATATATCCGTAGAGGCACTGAAGGGTGGTGTTTATTTGCCTTGATGATACTGGTAGTGCGTCAGCCACCCTTGCCCCCCTTTAGATCGAGACCTGTCCCCCCCTCCCTTTCCAACATTTACTTACATAATGAATATGTTCATGTGTTAGACCACCAGCCGTTAGTTCCAGGATCAGGCTGGTAGAAGTTGCGTCCCCTGATTCCATATCTTCTTGTAGAAAACTGAATAATTCCTGCAGATAAAAAGAATTACCATCAGACAGTATAAAATCATTAATGCTCCACGTAAGGTTGAAATCCCTGTTCTAGAGAATGTGACTTTTGGGGATAAAAGGTGGAGGGATAGGGGGGAGGGGTTGTAGTTAAATTAAGGGGAACTTACTCTACATTTCTCCATCTTGATATCCAAGGCTTTGTAATCATGTTTATTCATCAGCTGTCGAATCATCGGACTGAAAAGAAGATTCATTAAGTTTAGAGAGCACAATATAGGAGGTCTGTAGAGGTAGATAGAGGCTGCAAAAGAATATTGTTAAAAATGCGCACATGATTGTGCTTGAAGTTGGTGTTGAAATTAGAGAACTTACTCTAATTGTGTTACTTTTTCAGATAGAGCAGCCACAACAGAAAACAACCGGAAGTTGATCTTCTCTCGTCCTGGTAAGTCCAATACCTTTAATTTAAACAAAAAACAAACCTTCAAATCCCAAGGAGAAAACAGACATATACAGAATCCCAATCGTAATCCATACGTCAAAATCTACATGCTAAGAGAATCATGGTAATAGACAGCAAAGTGCTTGTTTAAGGCCTTCACTCTGATTTTGTTTATCATTGAGTTCATAAAAGCTTGGTGATGGGAGCGCCCCTTAATAATTCGGTGGCCCCTATGCGGCCCAATGAGTCATAGAAACAACACTGCAGAAGATTGATGTTTCCCTAACTTTGTTCCATACTTACATGATATAAGAAGTCGCATTCCCGATCCGTAAGTAGATGATTGTTCACCTGCTGTAAAGACTCCCGTAGATTATCCAACTTAATCTCGTAATCCTATCAAAAAAAAGGAGAAGGGTGTATTATTCTGGTATCAGTTCTTAAGAGACCTGAACCGTTTGCTACTTTACTCTGAATCTCTCTTGATGCTCAGTGCCCAAACCCATTCCCCATACATCATACTGGATGCACTAGTATACTCACTGGCGTTGGTCTCAATGTGTTATACAGGACACTTTGCTGTCGTCTGAAATCAGCAGGGTGTGTTTCTGTAAACTGTCTGTTAATGTATTCATCTTCACAGTAGCTAAGTAATATCGAACGCTCCTCTGTAATAAATACCAAATAGACACAAGTTACCTTGGTGACACAATCACAAACCCCTGCCCCCTTTCCCATCCCAACCTCTAGAAAGACCGTTCCTCCACTATAATAACCATCTTGCTATCCACATTGTAATCAATACAATGGAAAAACAAAGTCAGGTGTCTCTTACCGTTTTTATGAGCAAGACGACTGGCAACTTCTAGTGATTTCTGTTGACATCTCTCCATTTCCAGATCAATCTGACGAACACTGTCATTCTTACAGATCTGTAACACATATTATAATTATACTGTTCAATACAAAATGGTATTAAGCTTACTAGGTACTATACGAACGGGAATGGAGAAGGCAATAAAAAGCTGTGATGCTCTTCATAGGAATTTGTTATTTACAATGTGCCAGAGGTCGATCTATTGTTCCTCTTCTCTTCTTGAGCAATATTATTCTTTAGACATCTAGTAACGCTTCAGTCCAGTCGATGTACAATAACTTACCTGTTGATAGCCTTTCTTATCCAGTCGTTGTATAATTACATCTGGGGTTATTTCAGAAGGATCTGTAAACTGTTGAACTGGGTCTCTTTTAGCCTAAAATAGAATCCACTTGATACTGTTAGCAACGTGACCTATCTGATCATGAAGTGAGATTGAAGAGCTGTACCATCTCCTACCCTCAAGGTGCAACTGGAAGCCATAAGTATACAAGACACACATGCAAAGATCAGAAATCCTCTTTCAAATCCCTTTTATCATGCATAGTTCATCCAATATGTATCAAAGACTTGTACCTTTTTCTGTTTTCGTGGAGAATAGCTGGCACCGTCGATTCCTGGGTATTCTTCAATGGCTATCTGGGCAATCAAACACAACCGTCTCGCTACAAAATACCAAGATAGAAAGGTATAGAACTCGTTAGGAAGTCTCCAAGAATGGGTTCTTGCAGGTATGATTTCAGTATGTATTCGAAAGGGGACGGGGCGATTAAATGGCGACGTACGATTGTTTTTCAATTGGAATTGAACAGAATCCTTAACAGTTGGCTTGGAGTTGAAGTCTATAGGAGGAACGTCTCAAGGAAATCTCTTCCCAGAGATCTATAAGAATCCGTTACCTTCTAGATTCCCCCAGTTGTTCTCCAGCTCTGATCGTTTGGACTCCAGTGTTTCGATGGTAAAATCTAACTTCTTGAGACACTCTTCTTCTACCATGTTTCCCTGGAATTGGGAAATTTGATAAAAACTAAGTTATTTCATCATAGCATTCCGTTTACTATAGTAGTTTGTATCATGCACTAACGATCTGAACCGTAAGTCGTTACTAATACTCACTGCCTGTATAGAAGGACTGCTGTGGCCAATAAGAGTCATGTCTCGAAGCATGGAGACCTCGTGGTTGGATAGAGACTGAAGATGCTGTCGTGGAGACTCGGCATCTCCTTTCAGCGCCATCAGGTTTGATAGACCGTACTCTGGTTTGTTCTCCGATACCGCTGATTCAAAGATAAGCTCATAATACGGCAACCGTACTGGGCTGAAATAGAAAGAATTTGGTCAAGGGCGTAGCCAAGCCGGTCAGGGGCGTAGCCAAGTTATGAGCTCTGGTGGTACGTTATTGGAATTCGTGGAAAACGAGCAGTAACCAGAATTTTATGACTTCCGTTTGTGTACCAAAATGCATTGAATCATGATCTGTATAATTCTCGGAGTGAGTCTGTCTCCGACTGTCATTAACTGACAGAATTCGTGCATTGGTACAGTTTTATTGAAAAGTTCTCAAGCTACCCTTACTTGATGATACAGTATTTAGCCAAGAAATCCAAGGGATCGTGGATTTCTCTCAATTCATCTTGTGACACTGGAGCTTCGGCGGCTTTCCTCTTTCGTCTAGGCGTCTGAATTTTAGGCCTGAAAGAAAGAGGAGACAACTTTGTGGTTCTCATTTTGGCATCGATTTATGTCCTCAAATATTAAATGCAAGTTTAAATCGTGGTTTCCATGGTGCTATTTCTGATCAGTTGGCATCCGTGGTTTAGGTTCATCAATATCGTGCAGAACAGTAGGGTGTTAAGATCAGTTCATTCACTGTCCTCAGAAATAGGCTAGACGCACAATTCTTGTCATTTCATTTCTAAATGAGGCCAATGATTAGTAATCTTACAGTTTTCTGGATTTTGGAGGTGGAGGTCGTTTCTTGGGTGGTTGTTTCATCTCTGGTGGGGCTTCAACAGCGAATTTCATACTGGATTTTCTTCTGTCCCCCTTGGTCTGAAATTAGACCACGTATCAATAATTACTGATCGATATACTACTAAAAGCACATACTAGTATATCTCACTGCCATTGTGAACAAAAATAAACACCTCTTAGTACATGTACTAACAATTCAAACCGCAAAACGAAACCTTAAATGCAGTAACAGAACTTTTCACATGATGAGGTACACCAGTATAGCAATCATAAAGCAGGAAGTGTCAAACATACCCCAGCTCCTATGATAGGTAAGTCAGGTGATAGTCGTTTAACTTGAAAGTTTGGAAGTTTCAGCTTGTTCATCTCTCTTTCAGGAAAGATGAAGCTGTCCTCCTTCTCCACTTCTGAAAGATGGTCATCGTCTGATGGTACTGATTTGGTGGATGCCTAGAAATGTAAGGTGAGGATCATTTAATTGCTTAGAGCTCACCCATCTCATGCTGCTGACTAGCGTGTTTGGGATACACAATCTTCATCAGGACATGTCTTACGAATGTCAATCATGTTCCCTGGCTTCACTCAAAATGTGATATAAAATGTAAACAAAATACGCGCACGGTAAATATTACCCAAGAGAGTTGTCGTTCCTGGCTTGATCGTCTGCTCTTCTTCAAGATCTCATTTCTAGTCTTTTTATTGGACAATATTTCTTCGCCATCAACGCGGCCATTTTGTTTTTCTAAATCTGATTTTTGTGAAGTTGTTTTCATCCAGTCTGAAATATGTTTGAAATATAATTTCAAAATGATTTTGTAACATGTTCTTCATTCGTGTAGTTTGTCATAAAAATAAGGGCATGATAACCCAGACATACCTGTTTGATTTCCATTTGCTGAAAAACGACTGGCTCTGTTTTGATTGTCTCGATCTGAAAAGAAATACAAGAATCTAAACTGAATTGAACATGTCAGACTCTGTCAAACGCTTTGTTTAAATCATAGAACAACCACAGTATCGTATCTTGTTTTGGAGTGGGTCACAGAGTTGGTTGATGTGTTCAAATCCATAAACGCCATTTTATTTCATCCCTAGAGCTACCGATAAGTTTATAAGATCTATTTCGTCCAACCTGATCTATTAGAAAGGAGACTGTCATCAGAAGACAATCCTCGTATTCTTAAAGACTGAACTGTGGCGTCTTCCATCGGGTGACAATACTCCTGAATTGTAGCGCAATCTGTATCCAAAAACACCAAAAGAACGTTTTAATCCACAAAACAGTGAAGTCCTCCTTTAAAACTGTTTGATGACGCCACTTCTCCCAATCAGTCTTGACAGACAGTTGCTATTTCCCGTAACACTTAAAAACTTTACATGTTGTAAAACAGTAAATTGTATTGTCAACGGTTGATTAATATTTTTTTAACCAAACAAACAGAGTAGATAGGGATATAGATAAGATTTTAATGGACTATATAAAGTTTGATAGAGTCCGATATCAAGTTACATAATATATATTAAATATATCACACTAACCCTTCATGGATTAAAGTTGGGGTGTATTAAATTTATGATATACAAATAGGAATATGTGGTATACTATAACGTTAATGGTAGCCAAATATGGATTAAAGTTGGAATATACTCAACAAATGTGTAATATACTATATATGAAGTACTGTTTTATTATCCAATGATGATTATCATGCATGAATCAAAGTTGGGGTGTACCAAATACCAAGTCTTCAATTCCAACGATTTTAATCCAGAGTTTAGATTAATCGTTGTTTTTCTCTATATTTCTTACCTTGAGTTTGATCCTGGGAGACCTCGTTTTCTTTATTGCTTTCACAAGTCATTACAGATTCTATAATGATAATATCATAAATATATAGTTAAGATAGGTAATGATGAACAGGCAGCTTGTGATTCATAGGTAACGCTTCAAGGTAAGGTAAGACAAATGAAGAGACAAGAGTTGCCATTTGTATCATTAACATATAAAGACGCTTACCTGTCATAACCTCGCTCTCAAGTCCAGAATCGGGTGAAAGTAGAGGTTCTAGTCGTCTGAAGTCATACCTGAAATGACAAGGATTGAGATCAGTTGATTCTTCATCGCCAAATACTGATTCTTCTGTATACAGACAACACAAAAACGAATAAGTAGCTCTGGTAATAGCATCTCCTTCTTGTGTCCAAGAGGCTCCCGAACCATCGACTACTTTTCTTGCTTTTTTATAAAAAAGAGCTAACTAAGACCCTACCTTTCATGTCTTTCAAAATCTCCAAAATCTTCATCCCTATCTCCGTTATTATTCTACAAAATGAATGAATACGTATATCGGTAACAGGACAGTAAGACATAAAACTCCGCTTCATTAATCCACTGAGCACAATATGATCTAAAGTCATCACGACATGCCAAATTCATTTAACTAGCCTCGACAAAACAGAACTTGAGAAAATTATTGACCAAAATGGGCGGTGATCCAATGCAGAATATCATACCTGAAGCAAGCTTTCGTCTTTCTCGTTCTTTACTTTATGGAATCTTTGATCTCTGTCAAATTTCTGAAGCTCAAACTTCTTCGGTTCCTGAAAAGCATCAAAAATAATTCAATGGAACGTTATTACAACAGATATCGCAACCATAAGCTCACAGAAGCAGCACAGTCAGTGAGAAAGATATGAAATAGTGGTATAGAGAGTCCCAAACCAAGAATTAGTTCGCATCTAGTATTCGCATCAGCTTCTACTTACATTCCAAGCTGCTCCCCCTGTCGATACGTCCACAAATTTGGTCAGTTCCTTGGTGCTCTTTTTAATCTGGAAACCACTTCCGGTTTGGATGTTGTACTGTCTGTCTGTGGAGAAGGGCGACTGACTGACAATATGACGACGTTCTCGAGGCTTCAGTTGAAATGGTTTGGGTGCTGCAAAATAAATGAGGAATCGTTTGACTTTATAAAGGTTTCGGGTTCTTCGCTTGGTACAGAGAGACACATGATGATGGTACAGTTCCCTGCATGGCACCCTGGGCCGTTAACGCCGTTGTTAAAGCCTTCCCACACCACAAAGCATCGCTTTTCGACCTGAATTTCAGATTAATGGCTTGGCTTGGTTTGATTCTTAGTAATTGATGTAAATACCTTTATACAGCGACTGTCTTGTTGGTTGTTCTTCAGTTAGTTCCCCGTCTTTACTGTCTCTTGACGTTCCACTTCTCTTCTCTTGTAAATTTTCTGAAATGGGAAATCTTTTTCTATGCATTTACATTGCTCCTTTTGATTAACACCACGGTTGTTTTGCGACTTGCCTTTAAGATATTTTCAGAAAAAAAGCTCACCCAGGAAACCCGTAAGACTTTGCCTCTCATCACCTCGAGAGGAAGGCGTCAGTGAACCCAATCTACTGGTGATATCCACTGTGACCGACAACCGCTTCCCAGAGTCAGACCCACTCAGGAGCAGGTCCTGTATTGTCTGTCGATCTGGATGGTCTTTTGGCATCTTGTCAAGGATCTGCTGTAGGTTCTTCTTGTGGATGAGGATCTCTACACCTGATTCGTCAAGACACAAGATATGGTCACAGTCTGCATCGGTTATTCTCTCCCCTTAAACGAAAATGAATCCGATCTTTATAAGGAAATAAAATGAAATAAAGGGAGTTTTACGTCCTATATTTCTGCACCTGATTGGGCTAATGAAGCATTTAGACAAAGTAGGTCGTAAAACTCCACGCATGTTTACAATAGGAGATTCATCTCCCGCAGTCCACAAAGTTGCAGGACAGAGGAAGATAATGGTAATTCATTGCAGATTCAAACAAAACCAAACCAGAGCTTACATATTTTCATAGTATATAGTTCTTCTATGGTAGTATCTTCAAGAGCATCTCCTTCTTCATTACCTAGAACCAGTCTTTTCTTTCCGTCGACTTCATACACTTCCGCTATAGACTCTACTGAAATACAGTAAGATACCGGGTATACAAGGTATAACCACATGAAATATTTATCAATCGAAAGGGAATAGAAAGTGTATTGAGGATGACGGATATGGCCATATTGACGTCGACGGATGACGCATTGGTCTGATTGGTTGGCGTCACAATTTTAACGCCCGACATGTCATTATGTGGTCGCCATGTTTGTTATTCTTCTTCTATTTTATTTACCTTTGTCGGCAGTATCTATTTGCCTATCAGCGGATTGTGACTCTTGTATTCTCTTCCAATTTCTTGGATTATTCTTACTGATTTCGGACTGGGCCCTGTCATGTCTCCAGTAGGTGTAGCCCCCGCCGGTTCGAGATTGAAAATCCTCATGGTAGCTAAAGGAATGAAGGGAAAAGGCAACTTGCAATTATAACAATTCGAAATATGATGTAAGCATGTAAATGGAATAATTACTATGGACGTCTCTATCAATAATAACTAGAATCTAGTTCAGCTATGAGACTGCAATTTGAGCTGTAACTCCATTTTGAGAACCCTTCGATGTTCGTCTCCAATATCAGAGCAGAAAATGGATATAAAGCTCGCATTTCGCTCGATTGCATTGTGGAAGATGGGACATAACTCTGCTTACTGTAACTGAGAATTCCTTTCACATCCGTAACACAAACCAGCTCGTCTACATCCTGTACAGAATCCGGGGAACACATAGCTTGGATATTTCTTGATGGTTTCCGATAAGTATTTCTTCTCTAGAAACAGTCCGTGAACTATCTGGAAGTAGTTCCTGTATCCGGATATCTCTTCTCCGTCGTGGAGACTCTTCCGGAGCAGTTGCTCAAGATTTGCGATACTGGAAAAGAATAACACATCAGCGACGTTATTGAATCTTAGTTCCTCTACAGTACGTTCTAGTGGTTGTCAGTAAAGACAGAGCGTGATCTCTTTCAAGAAGATCTGGCGCACCTGCCACTGATTTGTCATCTGGTTTGGAATGTAGAGTTCACCCCAGGAAGGTCTAATATTGGGGATACCTGTAGCAAGTAGAGCGTTACATACCTGTCGGCGACATATGTGACATCATCTGCATTAGGCTCCTACAATATATAGAACAGATTAAAATATAGTTTCTGTCATATTCTATGGACATATCCCCCTTCCCAACCACCAGTTGTCCCCTTAGTTACGCTGACATAGTGCCAAGGAATACCGTAGAAATTCTGATGCATCACGAGCTTTTGGGTGGACTTGGGGTCACCACCTCTTCAAAAGGTCGGGTCGTAAAGAATCGTCAAAATCTTTAATTATTAGATTTGTTCACTGTCTTGAATATATAGTACATAGTTAATTAATCATGCTCATTATTTCGAGAGCATGTCTTATCATTCTGATGTGTCCACTTTGTAATTAAAGAACATACTAATTAAATTATGTCGTAATGGTTTAAACACGATGGTTTGTAATTGATTGACGTTTCATGGCCCACTCTTCTGCGCCTTACTGTCTGATGGTTGATGATAATGATGATGATGATGGCGATGCAACTAAATATGATGGGGGTGGGATTCATTATGGACGATAGCGCAAGTTATTTTCAAAGCACGCTAGACTCTAACATACCCTTCTATTCGAACAAATATCCAAATCATCCTTGCTGACTAGATGCTGATGATGATACTGATGACTCCGGAGTCTGGACGGTGCAGGAGGTCCACGTCTGGTATAGTCTGGTCTAGCAGGTGGCGGGGCTTTGGGGAGTCGCCATTCATTTGGTTTGGATGCTTCTTGGGATTGCTTTACATTCCACCTGTCTCTGGAATCGATTGAGAGGTTAAAGGTTAAAGGTCGTGATCATTGCCCAAGAAACATTTGCTTAAGGATCAAAGGTCATGTGACTGATAATAGTTTCACTGCGGTTTCTGTATTTTAGTCATCTGTGCAACTTTCATTCATTCATTCGTTCATTCTTCTATTCGTGCATTCGTTCATACTCCCTTCATTCATTCATTCATCTATTCATCCCGATTGCTTACCTATAAATGGCCTCCTGTAATGTGGTATAAGTGTCCAACTGGTTTCCAAGAGAATCTTTCAGAACGATTCTAGGAAATCTGAATTTCTTTACGGATTCGTACCATTCATTAGGTAATCCTGGAGGTGTGGCAGAATGGTTTGGCACCGTTTTTATCATCCTGAAATTAAAATCGGATTCGGATTGGCCTCGTTGCATCTTTATAAGACTGAGTTTGTTAACTTAGCATCCCTTTTGCGTCTTAAATGCATTATTGTGTATTCAGTACATTCAGAGTTTAGATATAGATCAATAACCCATTGAAGAACAATAGAGCTTGTCTCAAGTATTCTCAAGCGTAAAATGATTTTCTCTTACGTTCTGAATGGTTTTATTAAGGAAATGTGTGTTTTGAGATTTTGACACTTGCTGACACTACTAAACAAAGAGTCGAAAAGAGGAGAACTGTGTATACCCCCCTTAGAGTACGATAGCGGTCTCTCGTACTTTGGATAAACGTACGCACTTGCGTATACTGGGGAACAAGGGTCATAATCTTTGGAATTCTTTGGTGATTAAGGAGAGAAAAAAAAGTCCAACCTCACCTGCAGTTCAGTATACGTATATCAAATGTCTCTAGTCCATGTTAGAATGTATATATTGTATGTGAAGGTTATCACAGTCTATATAACTAGTATATGCCAATAAATAAACTTCAAGACACTCCCTTTTCACTTAGTGTTGGTGGGATACGATGGAGGGGTGGTTGTCTTGTTGAAGGGGTACACTGGTCGTATCGAGGAGAAAGATTAGGGTGGAGCAGTATAATTTTTTGAGTGTCAAGATTGTATTATAAGTCTGTGGGTGAAGTGAGAGAGGCGGAGGGTTGTATTAATGAGATTGGAATGGGGGAGGGGGGGGGCTGGTGTGGAGTGTCACGATTGCAGGAAAAATCTTTGGTGTGGAGAGATAGAGAAGGGGGGGGGGGGGGATGTTAAGGGGCAGATATTACATGATAACAGCTTTATTGTGCTTTAATCGATGGTACCCTTTTAAAACTTGCTCATACGTTTTATTTCTCCCATAAATGTCGGAAATTGAGGGGTTATCCCTTTAATGTAAACAAACTAATTGAAAGGGTAAATGTTGACATTGTTTAATCCCCTTGTTGACATCAGATTAGTCAAGGCCCTGTATGACAAATTGATTAGGGGCTTGTTTACTGATTGGGACAAGATAAGGTCGAAGCAGACCAGGCTTACTCTCTCCAAAACACCCGATGGTACCTCTCGTTTGAGAAGTTCACAACTATAAAATCACTGCTCCTGATTTTTTCGTGTTTTGGGTGTGATTTTTGGTTGATTGAGATGAGATAAGATTTGGTTTAAATGGTATATGCGATAGTGACGTCATGATCTGGTCACGTTCTTGTAGAATTTCAGGAACCATTTATATCGGACTGGAAGTTTGAGTGGTTCACATAATAAGCTTCAAGAGTCCCCGATTCACATTCAAAGACTTAACAATTCAGAATGGTGTAAAAAAAGGGGCTCTTATAGTGTCCTCGATACAAATATGAAGGCCAGAAAAACTTTTGTGAGTGCTAATAAATACATGAACTCTGTTGAAATAAACAAACATGTCGTAAATTTTCTCTCTTCATTTCTAATACAATAAAGATCTTGTTATCTGGTAGGTTTATATATTTTATCGTTCATATTTTATTTTATAGCGTCCATAAAATATTGTCAGTAAAAACTATCAAATCAAAGGTGGAAAAAAAGTTACCGACAGCTGGATATTTTCCCATGTATTTTGAATGGTTTCATTTCCGATATTTGGTCACCGGAAAATTGATTATAGGCAATTTGGTCACAGTAATATGGTCACAAGTAATATTGATTACATGTATAAGCAATTGGTCACAGTAATGTGGTCTTAGTAATTTGGTCACAGTAATTTGGTCACGAGGATAATTTGTCCCAGTACCTTTGTCACAGGGTAAAGTAGTCCCACAGTAATTTTCCCACAGGTTCACGGTTACATATGATTTTTGTGGCAGTTAATCCATCCCTCCCTAAAGAAATTGAAAAATTTCCTACCTTAATATAATGAATCCAATGATTTCATATCAAATTTGACCAATTTCTTATCAAATCTCACTGATCTGATCTGCTTCAACAGCTGAATCAGTTTCCGTCTTGGTTCAATATGGAATATGAATAAGAATCCGTACAAGCAAGACAGTTCCGTTCATCAAAATCTCCTCCTAAATCTAGAATATAGTTGTACAGCGGTCTCATCCACCTAGAAGTATTATCAGGTGTTTCGAATTGTGATCAAATGTTGTCTAATGCCTTAAATCTTTACAAGCAAGACAGTTCCGTTAATCAAAGTCTCTTCCAAAGTATGGCAAAATCGAGAATAAACGTTGAATAGTAACTGTCTCTTCCACTAAGAAGTACTCTCGGGTGTTTCAAAATGTGGTCAAATGTTGATCTAATGCCCTATATTTATTGCAAGTGGTTAACGACGAAAATACACCATCTCAATTACTAACCTGTTTAATCTACGTCAGATTCTCAACTAAACAACTCTTAATAAAGAGGGCCATTATTAAAATCAAGTGTGTAAAGTTAATATACTTCAATGGTTCTTTATCAGCTTTATGACATTCTTGTTTTCACTATTGTTTGGTCGTCCAATTATACGAGCTTTAAAGTGGCACATATTTAATAGAAAATGGCTCGGGTATAGAATGGCACACCCTAGAAAATCTGACGCGAGTGGCAAACATATTGTAAGTCAGATTTGGGTGGCAAACTTTGTGAATATATGACTTGGATGGAAAGTGGCAAACCCTGCAAATGGGTAGCCTGGTTCGAAAGTCATCCTAGAAAATCTGAGACAACAAGTGGAGAAATTCCTAAAGTAATTCCAATGAAAAACTGAGTTGAAGGTGGCAAACCTTGTGTAAGTCAGACTCGGCTGGCAAACTCTAGGTAGAAAGTGGCAAACCTATGAAAAGTCGGCCAGTAGCTGGAGCAATTCCTCTTGGAAATTTTGATTGAAGGTGGCAAACCTACAAAAATCTAAAGGGGTAATCCTTGTGAAAGTCTGACAGTCTAACTCCGGTGGCAATCCTCTCGTATGCCATTTTGTTATTACTACGTAATCCATGAAGTGTAGAACAATAGTGACTGTACTATTGTTTAAACAAAAATTTCCAAGGTTACTATTTTAAAAAAATATATACAAAATGTACCGAATTATTTTAAAGTTTGTCATCCTGTATCTTTGTCTAAAGTTTCTATACTTATCGATTATTTAAAATATCATTTATTTTATCTCTCTCTTTTGTATTTCTTGCTGTTTAAAAGCTCGATATGTTTCATGTTCATTAGCCTACATGGTGCAGATATGTAAGACGTAAAACTCCATTCATTTCATATCATATTTCCCACGGGCCATGATGTAATACAGTGTATTATTGTTTTTTAAGAAATTACACATTTCTTTTACGATATATAATATTAACTTTAACTATATTGATGTTCATTATGTAAACTTTAAATTTCTAGGCGTGGTGATGGTCTAATAGAATATCAATAACATATATATTGTCCTAAAATAGATACAAGATTCGACTATTCCTAGCTTTAATCTAACCTTCTATAATATTATGAAAAGGGTATAGTTGTCTATTGGCTTTAATTTCACGCAATTATAATATTTACTTAACAAACCCTAAACATGACGATCCTTTCTGATGATTGACTATCCTGTATAGGATTCATTTCAACTAGAATAATTTTATATACCCATAAAGACGTATTTTGATATCCCTAAATCAATATAGGCGATCCCAATATCAAAAGACCCCTAGCCCTTTTCACACTTTGTTTTCAATACCTATTGATATCATGAACATGTATATTGTAACTTTTGTTGAAAAAGATTTATTTATTTTTATATGGTTTATTTTTAAAACAGCTCTTTCTTGTACTGATTTTATTAGGCATGTGTTGTTGATTAATACAATAAGCAGAAATAGAAAAAAAAAAACTTAAATGATACTTTAGAAAACAGAATTTATACCAAACGGTCCATTGTTCAGATCTCTACAGCTTTACTGAAACTGTCGAGTTACTTTTGATGACGATTTAGAACATATAAATGATGATTTAGAACGTATAAATGATTTAGAACAAATAAATAACGATTTCCATAGAGCTTAAGCTTTTAGTGCCACCCTTTTTCCAATCAGGAGTATAAAAGACATTTCTTTTCATTATTGCACGCCGAGTGTTTATGAGCTATTGTATATAGAAGAAACAAAAGATTCTTTAGAGTATATATACCATCATCTTCACAATGTCAAGCTATTATGACCTCTGTCTAATACCTTGACTGCAATAAGATAATGTAAATGGAGCGATTTGATTGGATTGTATGACAGCGAATACAGCCAATCAGCGCCCACGGCAGAAAAACTGTAAACAATTTAGTTGTACATGTAATCGAGAGCTTTGATTGGCTGTATTCTCCAGCGTATATCCAATCGCACCAATGTAATCAGTGGCTATTGTAGTCAAGGTATTATACGTGGTTTGTAATAGCTTGACATTGTGAAGATGATTACCATAATCCCCATTCATTCTTTCAGATCTATCTTTTGTTTTGTTTCTACCAAAGAAGCAAATCCAGTCTTTTATTTGCGAAGAAAATATTTTACAAATTTTCATCTCCTTTCTTTCACGTTATGTGATAACCATTTTTATTTTCTGCTGGATACCTGTCGGTATAAATTGTGAAGTAGAAGAGTTAGTTCAAATATCCAACTTCCTGTTTTTATGTAAAATTATGTTTCCAATTGAATAAGAGAGAATTTGTCATTAGCGTACATTAAACAGCTAGACTAACGATAAAGATTTTTTGAGAAACAGTGTTTCATATTCTGGATAGAAAAAAGTTGTGTTCCTCAACGCCAACCAACTAACCTGCCATATCAGGTAACTGGAAGCGGAAGTAAACTTGCCATCTTACAAACAACCGAAAGTTCGATATCAGTTAGCTGGAGGAGAACGTAAACTTGCCATCTACCAAACAACCTAAAGTGCGATATCAGTTAGGTGGAGGAGGAGTTGTCTACCAACCAACCAGAACAAATTAATCACCAAAGTAAACAATGGGAAACGCTAGTTGGTGATACCATTTCAAAAGACATGGAGATATTGACAAGCCTGTACACCATCATTATAACCAGCATTCCTTACAGCTCGGTATCTTTTCTTACCCCAAAGGGAATTCTATCCTGTAGCATTCACTGTCGAGAAGGATGTGTTGCCTTCACTTATAACGAACTAACTTCCAGTTGTAACTTGGTGTCTGAATTCTATACAGGAACCCCACCGATTTCTCCTACTAGGTTTTATATGAAAAACAGTAAGTGTGTTTATATCTTTGTATTCCATTTGACCCCATTTTGACCACAGACAACTACTTAAGTCATTACAATATGTTTGCTATCTGGACTCCATATTTGGTATGGTATTTTGACCTCCAGAGCCTATTCTGACCACATGAACCTGCCACCATGCCAACACAATCTGTTCGCTAGTTGGATTATGACTCAACAAGATCTTCGGGTGTGATATACGGATGGGATATCAACACCTTTAGGGCCAGACATAAAATGTCATTTTTGTCAGATTGCAACGATTGGCATCAAGTAATCAGTTATTGGTCTATATTTTTAGTTAACTGTCCACTGTTAGATGAGTATAAATACATTACAATGGGAACAACCAAGGCTTGTGTGAAATTTATCTCTTATACCCCGCATTGGTTTGATGCTCAAACTGTTTGTCAGGCAGAAGGTGGATTTCTGATTCAATTTAAAACGATAGAGAAAACTAATATGATAAACCAGTATATTACAGACCGACTGAGTAAGTTATCATCATCATCATCATCATCATCAATCACACAACCACGCATCCTTCATTCACCACCATCATCATCGTTGTTAATGCCATCATTCTGTGACAACAACATCCTTTTCCTCCTCCTCCTTCATCTTGAAAGTAATCGTCATCATCAGCAACAACATCATCATCATCATCATCATCATCTTTGTCGTCGGCAGGAAGTATTCTTGATGACACCTCAATTCCATGACCCATTAAATCAGTATAACATCTAATATTTGTTTGTGTTTTTAAGGTATTTATGATCAATGGTGGATCGGTTTTCGGGATAAATATGATAATAATGTATCCTACTGGCTTGATGATGACATACTGAGTCGATACGATCCTAGATGGTATCCTGGTGAGCCTTCTTTTCATTCTTATGGCAAACATGACGATTGTGGGGTACTAAAAGAAGGGAAATTTTGGGATTATTACTGTATTAATCCTTTGAAGTTTATTTGTGAAAAGACTATTTAGAATTTGATAATGATTGTCTGTAGTAAACTCTTTCAATTTCAATAATGTGTTAAAGCCTTAGATTGTTTATGTTCTTTCTAAACACACAACCAAAGTCGGGTGTGACAGGCAAAAATTGAGCAAAAAAATCCAGTTAAAATAAACCACCACAAGTTATTTCTTTGAATAGTTTCATTAGAATGTTTCAGGGTTTTTTTCTTCGTCAGGAACACAAATGAACTGTAATGTAGTACAAAATAAACAGATCATATACCAACACCACCAACATTTCAATATGTTTATGAGGTTTACGAAGGTGTGTACTATACAAATATGCATACTGTATACGAATGTTTTCTATACAGGTGTGTATTTTATGCAGGTGCGCGCTATCTACTGGGGTTTACTTTATGTGCGTACTATACAAAGGTGCGCATAATACACAGAAGTATACTGTAATATATCAGATTGCCCCACATATATGTTTGATGAACACAAGACACAAATTTTGGACATTTATTACAGATATTTACATTTTATCACAAGTTGTCACCAAACCCCGAAGCCCAGTAATTGAAAAAAGGAGGGCACCATCACCTCTAGGCTCCTCTAGGTTCCTCCTTATGTTACGCTTATAATACCCTTTCCTTCAAAAATTAAATGTGTAAGAATTAGGTACCAGCTGTGGACCGTTTGAATTTTGTCGATCCATGTTGTTTTGTTGAGTTCGTGATACCGTAGACTGCGATGGTAATGGTGCTGATAACTGCCCGGCAAGCGAATTCGGATCTAAGTCCGTGTATTGGAATGCTGATGTTGACGATGCTCTGGAGTTGGCAAGATCTTTAGCTAAATCTTTGGACGCTAACCGCAATGGAGTGTCACTAGCTTTAGTTTGAGATGAACCTTGTCTTGGGGGGAACCTTCCGGTGTTTGAATTTCTACTTCCTGTTGCGACCATGATATCTCCAACGGTTCGGGTTCTAGAGTTTTGAGTATTTGAGTATGAATTTAAGCCATTGTCTTTGTTACTGGTTTGCGGCGGACGGCTGGAACCGGCACGAAAAGGGTTGCGTGCGTTAGATACAGAACTGCGAACCAAGGACCTTTGCTGGTTAGCGGGTTTGGACGACTGAGGTTCAGTTCGACGGGTAGGTTGTGTTGGAGCCTCTATTATTATCCCCTGTTTGCTAAGAATACGCGCACTGGATCCTGGTTTAAGGGAAACTCTCACCGTGTTCGGATCTTGTGGATCCAGCTGGTCATTGGCAGAGGCATCTGGTTGAGAAGGTTCATTATATATTGGATGGTAGGTCAAATCTGGCGTATTGGACGAAGCACTGTTCCCATATGCGTTTGATGTGCTTTGCGTATTAGACGCAGCACTGTTTCCATATGCGCTAGACATGTCTTGCGCATTGGACGTAGGCCTACCACTGTTTCCATATGCGTTAGATATGTCTTGCGTATTAGACGCAGCACTGTTTCCATATGCGTTAGACATGTCTTGCGCATTGGACGTAGGTCTACCACTGTTTCCATATGCGTTAGATCTACCTTGCGTATTGGACTGAGGTCTACCACTGTTTCCATATGCGTTAGATCTACCTTGCGTATTGGACTGAGGTCTACCACTGTTTCCATATGCGTTAGATCTACCTTGCGTATTGGACGCGGGTCTACCACTGTTTCCATATGCGTTAGATCTATCTTGCGTATTGGACGTAGGTCTACCACTGTTCCCATATGCGTTAGATCTACCTTGCGTATTGGACGCAACCCTGTTTCCAGTAGGGTTTGATCTAGTTGCCAAGTTTGCAGGTCCTCTGTTTCCTAACGAATTTGACGGGACCCGAGATCTGGAAGATTTTACTGGGGCGGACCTTTGCATCGATGGAGCTCTGTTTCTGAAAGAGTCTGTGTTAGGTGTCGAGTCGGAAGATGCTGTTCTTCCGAAAGACCGGGACACTTTCGGAAAAGCAGACGAAGATCTCACTCGTAAAGGAATATTTGCTGAGTTAGCGGGAGTCGGGTTTCTAAATGCGTTTGACCTGTCGCCGATGTTAGACGCATCTCCATTTCGGGAAGAATTTGGCGTATCTGGCTGGTTGGAAGGAGATTTTCTCCCAAACGACGAAAAATCAGTATTAACAAACGCGTCAGGCGAGGATGTTTCCGGGGGCTTTACGCTGCCAAGAGAACTACCAGGACTATTGGTTGGCAGTTGTCGGTTCTTTATAAGACGATAATCAAACGAACTAACAGGTTTTCGGTCGGCTATCACTTGTGGCTCTGTCCGCATTTTAGTTGCCTTCTGTTTGCCACTTTGCTGTACGTCTGAAAGCAATGCGGAAACCTGATCCAGAACACCAAGTGGAATTGATGCCTGGTCATTCGATTTAGAGTTCGGAAAAGAATTGGAAGAGGACGTAGCGTAAGGATTCATAAAAGATTTCCCAGAGGACGGATACTCAATTTTTAGTTTAGTGCTCTTTGCTCCCGCCCCAACACTTTGTGAGCTTGGTCTGTTGAGAGGTGCCGTATTTCGTTGCTTAAGCTCACTATTGGTCTTCCCAAAATGGTGATTGTTTGGTAAATTGACGCTATCTCCGAGGTTTTGTTGCTTGAAATTATTCCGAGAATTTTGCGGATTGGGATACTTCATGATGGGCGGCTGCACTCCGCGGTCGTTGAAGGCTGGCGACATTACGGCTGTTTGTCTCGAGCCTTGACTCTGCATGTTTTGAGATTGGGAATTTTGTGTTGGTGCAGCACTTCCGATTCCGCGGTCATTGAATTTGTAAGCTCCCGATTGCACGGCGGGTTCTCCCTGCTTATACACCTGAGCACCCATTTGAGGTACGCCTTGGTTTGATTTCTTAGGTGATTCATTGAATTTGTATGGCCCTGGCCCTGATTGCGCCGTGGGTCCTCTTTGCGTATAAATCTCTGCAGCCATTTGAGGCATTGGCGCGGCCATGCCTTGGTTTGATGCTTGGGATAATTTATTGAATTTGTATGGCCCTGGTCCTGATTGCGCTGTGGGTCCTCTTTGCGTGTAAATCTCTGCACCAATTTGAGGCATTGGCGCGGCCACGGCTTGGTTTGATGTTTGGGATAATTCATTGAAGTTGTATGGCCCTGGCCCTGATTTGGCTGTGGGTCCTCTTTGCGTGTAAATCTCTGCACCAATTTGAGGCATTGGCGCGGCCACAGCTTGGTTTGATGTTTGGGATAATTCATTGAAGTTGTATGGCCCTGGCCCTGATTTGGCTGTGGGTCCTCTTTGCGTGTAAATCTCTGCACCAATTTGAGGCATTGGCGCGGCCACGGCTTGGTTTGATGCTTGGGATAATTCATTGAAGTTGTATGGCCTTGGCCCTGATTGCGCTGTGGGTCCTCTTTGCGTGTAAATCTCTGCACCAATTTGAGGCATTGGCGCGGCCATGGCTTGGTTTGATGTTTGGGATAATTCATTGAAGTTGTATGGTCCTGGCCCTGATTGGGCTGTGGGTCCTCTTTGCGTGTAAATCTCTGCATCAATTTGAGGCATTGGCACCGCCACGCCTTGGTTTGATGTTTGGGATAATTCATTGAATTTGTATGCCCCCGGTCCGGATTGCGCTGTGGGTCCTACCTGCGTGTAAATCTCTGCACCCATTTGAGGCATTGGCACAGCCACGCCTTGTTGGGATTTTTGAGGTAAATTCCATGTACTCCTCAACGACGCCAAGTTTGATTTGGTCATCCCGTTTTGTGGGTTGGTTAGCGGTGCCATCTGATTCAGAAGGTCTATAGGATTCGCAGGAGAAATCACACTGTTGGTTGAGCTGTTCGTGGCTACTGTCTTCTGTGTTGGTTGTTGACTCGTAGTGTTACTCTTAGGTGGAACTTCAGGAATCTCGGGGGCTTCGTACTCCGCGGGCATAGGAGTGGTAGTTGGTAAGCCGAGGTGGAAACGATCGTCGAAAGATGGAAATCCGGGAGATGGATTAGGTGTGGTGGGTTTCGGCTCGGGTTTAACTAATAAAGTATTTGCTTGGGTCCCTGCCTGTCCACTAGTCGCACCCAAAAGGTTAAGACCACTATTGGGAACTGTTCCTTTCTGTGCACTAGTCGCACCCGAAAGTTTAAGACCACTATTGGGAACTGTCCCCTGCATATATTGTCCGTTATTCATCATTCCCGGTTGTTGACCAAATACAGTATTCATCATTGGTCCGGACTGACCACTGTTCATATTCGTCATATCCGGTGGCCCCATTTGTCCATTGTTCATGTTCGTCATATCCGGTAACCCAAACTGTACATTGTTCATATTCATCATATCCGGTGACCCAACTTGTCCATTGTTCATCATATCCGGTGATCCAAACTGTCCATTGTTCATGTTCATCATGCCCTGTGGTCACAACTTGTACGTTATTCATGTTCATCATATCCTGTGGCCCCATTTGTCCATTGTTCATCATATCCGGTGACCCAAACTGTCCATTGTTCATGTTCATCATATCCGGTGACACAACTTGTACATTGTTCATGTTCATCATATCCGGTGGCCCCATTTGTCCATTGTTCATCATATCCGCTGGCCCCATTTGTCCATTGTTCATCATATCCGCTGGCCCCATTTGTCCATTGTTTATCATATCCGCTGGCCCCATCTGTCCGTTGTTCATGTTCATCATATCCGATGGCACAACTTGTATATTGTTCATGTTCATCATATCCGTTGGCCCCATTTGTCCATTGTTTATGTTCATCATATCCGGTGGCCCAAACTGCCCATTGTTCATGTTCATCATATCCGGTGGACCAAACTGCCCATTGTTCATCATATCCGGTGACACTTGTCCATTGCTTATGATCATCATATCTGGTGGTCCCATTTGTCCATTGTTCATCATATCCGGTGACACAACTTGTACACTGTTCATGTTCATCATATCCGGTGGTCCCATTTGTCCATTGTTCATCATATCCGGTGACACAACTTGTCCGGTGTTCACCATATAAGATGATCCGAGTTGTCCATTCATCATTTCCGGTGATCCGTATTGTCCATTTTGCGTTAATGTCGGGGGAACAAATGATCCGGGCGCCGTGTCCTTAGGAGCAGCCATTCCAAACATTTCGAGTTTGATCTCTGGTTGCTCTATCGTCGAACCTGACGAGAGTGATGTGTCTGGATAAATACCACCTGGACCAGGATCTGATATTATAACTGGCTGGATGACAAATGATTCGCCTGAAATAAAGGATGGGAAGATTTGAGAAAGTGAAGACTATTTGACGCACCTAGGAATGACTGAATCAGGGCGCTCTTGATTTTCTCGAATGATACACAGCTTCCAGAGGAGACTAAAGATCCAAAGCCGAGTTCTATTCACAGAGTGTCCTCGGGTGTTCGGAAAGAGTAAACATGCCCCTCAAGGAGAGTATAAGCCCCTTTCTATTTGGACTCTCCGAAAGGAATGCCCAGAGCACAATTCTTGTCGTCGGGTGTTCAGAAAGAAAGAGAACAATAACATTTAGAAGATGCCAAGACTCTTTCTATGTGGACACTCCGAAAGGGATGACGAGTTGCAAATCACAGTTACAAGGTGACAGCAGGTGCTTAGAAAGAGTAGACATCTTTAGTAAGAGGGTTAAACTACTACATCTACATGGATTCTCCAGAAGGGATGCTCTGGGGACAATTTTAATCGCCGAGTAGCATCAGTGTTGAATCAAGAACTGAATTTTGAGAAGGTCCAGGGCAGGGAGCTTGTCTTCAAGCTGATGCTTAAATACTTGAACCACATACCTGAGTGAATGCTGAATTCAGCAAGGAGGTAGAGGACCAGCCAACTCAACATTGTTGCGTCCAATACAGTTCCAATATCCTATGGATGTCTTTTAATAACTTAATAACAACCCTTTATCTATTCTGATCAAAGTTTGAAAGTTTCAACGATGCAACAATCCACAATTTTGATGTTTGGATCTGGGAATGGAACACGAACCACAAAATTCCTGAAGCACAAATTGGCAAGCTGTTATCATGTCTCTATAATCTTAGAGTGTAGAACAGTTTCTGGTATTTTCAGCACATTTCCTATTATCCTTTCAGCGTTTCCGATATATATGTAGATATGAAATAAAATTAAAGGAAATGTGGTTTAACGTCCTACTTCTCAATGTCTGGTTGGTTCAACGAACCTTGGGTGTTTTTCGAATATTAGAATTAATCCTTTAATCCACGATACTATAAGATAATCCGTGAATACTCCAATGTTATTTCATATCAGCCAAAGCGAAGCCTAGATATTTAAACACTGTGAATCAAACGTATCCGCGCTGAAACAGAGGACTTGCTCAATGTTCAATCCCCAAAATTTGAAAATGTCGTCAAGAATATACTTTAATGAGTCCTTAGACTCCTTCCTCGTGATGTCTATAGTGTTTCTGTATCTGTAAATAGAATATCTATTTCAGCTCATTTTGATAAATTTATTATCACTTCCGACTTTAATAGTTTCGAATTTTCATCTTGAATTCATTTACCCGTCAATTATATAGTTGCTGTATAACGTCTCGACAGGATGAGGTCGTTGGAGGCTTGGTGAATATAGAAGTGCATGTACATTGATCTGTCCGATTCAATTGATTCTGTTCCAGATGACTTAATTATGATGTATGTAGCCAAAAAACGTCAAAAGATGTCATATAATTTATGCCAACTAATCAAAAACACTTTTACAATTGGACAGACAATAAATGCCCTTTTTTTAATAATGAATATCCCAAAATTCTTAGCATATAGTAAGGAAATATTTTATTGAACAGATGAAATATTAGGGAGGAGTGGGAGAGACCCTCGTTAGCTAAGACTTTTCAAAGCTGTGAACGATATTTCTGGAGTTGTTTTTAGTGCGTTGCTGAGAACCAGAGGTTTTGGTGTTCTTTTTTACCTAATAATCTGACGAGGTAAACCGAAGTCGCGACAGCCAATAAAAACAAGTGAAATGGCCATTGTTATGGTGACGCATTTTGAAGTCAGAATTGTGTCTGCTTATTTGACAAATTTCATTCAAAATATGCGATATTATAAAGAAAAAAAACAGTCATAAATTCTTTTTAAGATTTAAAATGACTATCACATTGAAGGTGACAGTGAACAAACGAATTGAGGGATGGTTGTCATACTCTGAAATCAATGTACGGACGACGATAACTCTAGAATGAAAATTGAATCATAGTCAGGCCACATTTAAGTCATTAAATTAACGGTTTATTAACATGTACAATAGCCCAATAAACCATTCTTTCATCGCAACAAAAATTCAAAAAGCAAAGAAAAGCAAACACATGTGTAAATTTATTGAGTTTTATTTCCAGTTTTGTGTTAACAAGGAACATTGTCTCGAGACTTGGTGGTCAAGATTTTACCACTGATCTTCTCCACGCAGAAACAGGAACCTGGAATCGAAATGAAATGGACTGGAGTCCTACATCCTTTTTATTATTAATGTATCCCATGATTGGTCATTAAAATGAAATGGAGTTTTATGTCCTACTATTCTGTATTGATGGGTTTATAAATGAAATGAAATTAACTTCTTTACACCTCATTGGGCTCAAGAAACGACATCGTAGGTCCTCCTTTTCCAGTTTCATAATTGTCGAATGAAGACAGGCAATGCCGTGTGCATAGACCGCCGAGGGACTTGAAGCCTTAAGCCTTAAAATAAGGAGACCCATCTTTAAGCCTAAATTATATTTAGCCTACCGGTATTGTCACATTGGTGTGGGAAAAAGTTGCCGTCTGTATCACATCTCGGTGTCCATTTTCCCTGCCAGATTGCCATTGAAATCATGGCTGATATTCTCTTCTGTTCGCATTCAGTTCTTGATGAACCTGTAGTAAAAAAACCTATACTAGAGTTTGAGACTAACAGAAGTATAGTGTCCTAAGGTTCAATGAAAATTTAAAGCACCTACCCACAGAGCGTTTAGTGACGTCCTTGGCACAGACTCCTCGTCCAAATGGATTGTGGCCGTCCGAACCGGAAGTACACTTCAGACCATTGTCGCAATCTCCCAGTGGTACTCCACCAAATATAGCACGTTCCAGTTGACACATTTCACCTTCTACCTGTAACAACATGAAACAGAGGGGAGTTTTACGTCTTAAGGTAGACGAGGTACAGTGTCCGTCGTTGTGGTGTATGGTGTGGATCAATCGCTACGTACGAGGTAGCCTATGGATCCAATCACTGCACCGTACACCGAATCATTTTCTCCTGCTGATACAACCTACCTTAGCACATGCGTCTGTACATCGACAAAAACCACCATCTTTAATCACCCCGCCTTTGCACTGCGTCGCGTCAAAAGTGGCGCCATTGCATAAAAATGGCGCGCAGACGATAGCTTGAGTAGAAGCAATAGCAGCTAAGAGGACGACAACAAATAACATCTTTCTCAATATGTTACCAACTAGTGTAATTTGTAATAGGGATATTGATCTTATAGCCTCGGACCAGTATAATTATATTTTATCGTATTGAGAACGGAACAGGTGCGTGTCAAAGAAAAAACACCATATCTTGTATTCCGTTAAGAGGTCAGTTAAGGTCGGGTAATCCCATGTGATCTATTTTACGCTGAAAAGACTAACAATAAGGGCGGTCACTTTGTCACACTGAGTTTACAACAGACCACAATTAAATTTGTATTTATTAGCTTCATCCGATCAGAACGCTATATCGGTAATCTTCGGTTGTGTCTTTGGTATGGTGTGGGACATAACCTGTGTATCATGTGCTATATCTGCTTGTGCTATCTCTTGGCATGTCAAAAAATGTTACAATTTAGCATGGCTAAACTCTCAAATGGATCATTATAAGAATAACTCTGCTTCTTCACATTTCATGTCCGTGTGTTAAAAAATGTATGATTCACACATCTGGTTCGATCTCAAGCCAGTTATTTTCATATTTTCACGTATTTCTTATTTATCAAGAGAATTATATAGATATATACATATATTAAGGGAGGTAACAACAAATTCGTGAACTTTTAAGTAAGCAACGAACATTTAATTTGCTTGCTAATTGCAGCCATCTTCTTTAATGATTTAATAGGCGAATATACGTAGATGCAACAAGGCAACTTCTCAGCCATCTTTGCCATGCTTTGTCGTACCACCAGGCGAAGATGCGGTGGAAATCTATGTTCTAGCAATTAATTCCCCATGATGTTTTATTCGGAGCATGTTTGTGTCATTTTCCCGCGTTTTTAATAATATGTGTCTGGTTTATTCCTCATTAAAAAACCAGTAGTATTTTGACTGCATGTTGAGTATAATGAATAATGATGGAGGAGGTCTACATGTCGTATCTAACAATATTATAATATACAATGATTGATTGAACGAATATATCTCAATATTTATACAAAAATACACAATTCATACCATTGTTATATACTCAATACTTCTACTTTACTTTATTACAAAATTACATACCAAATTTCTTTAAAGAAGATCGCTTACTTTGCTGATATAATTCAATTCATTTTTATACATTAATTACATTAACTTTATTATAAAACATACCAAATTTATTTTTACTGATCGCTGGTATTTTTTAACCCCATCTCCAAATTAGTTGTCCCGATTTCGCGCAACCATGACCATAATGCATCTTAATTGTTTAAAATGAGAGAAATGATAAGATAAGTAATATATACACACTATATTTTACAGTTTTTAAATATCGCACGACTTTATTCTTGAAGTAGGTCAAACATGTGCATCGGATACCCATTGGAGTAGTATGACGTACACGGATTCACTTGTACGAAATCACAGTCTGTTGTTTCATGAATTACATTTATAATATAATAGATGTACGATAGTCTAAAATAAGCAAAATGGTGGACGCAACGCAACCAATCAGCGTCAGGATTTCAAAAGCGAAACAAAAATGAAAATTTTGACTATAGTCTATCATTGCCGAGATTTGTTCTGTGTTATTTTGTGGGTAACTCGCTCCATAAACTGTAATCACCAAAAGTAACAATACTCCTGCAATAGAAAGTGGTTGAAAGATACATTTATGTGGGTATGACTCTCCATACAACAAGCAAATGCCAACCTCTGAATTTTGAATTTGAAAGGACAATGTTAGTTAATGACTGTGGATGATAAACTGAGCATGTGCTAATAATATGGTTTATCACGGCACAATTTGTCTTACAATAGGTAAAGTTCTTTGGTCGGCATCATGAACAAGGTTCTGATTATGGATATTGTCTCTGCATGATGGTTTTGCTCGGTTAGATGCTCGACATCATGAATTTTTGGGCATGTTTAGCAGATAGGTAACTGAAATTAGCTTTGACAATGAAATCGGTGCCTGTTTATGGATAATTCTAGGTATGTATCTAGTTGCTATGGTTACCTACCGGAGGCTATACAGGTAGCAATAGATAAGATAGAGCAGAATTTTCTACCGCTGAGTTTTGGCAGCATGGCGAACAGTACAGTCAGAAAGTTGGCAGGCACCAAACTTATCAGTGCCAGGATCGCTAGACCTTGAGTTGCATGGAACCAGTCTGAAATAAAGGAGTAAATCTCGAATTAATTAATGATTATTAAATAAAAACAAATTTCAATGATTTCCAAGCAATATTAAATTAAATATAGACCTAAGAGAATACGTTATTTCAATTAAATAGCCCACAATGAAATATCAACCGTTTGCTTATGAAATATACTAATAATAAGCAATTCCTATGAAATATCAATGAAATATCGAAGAATCAAATGAAATTTCAATGAAATCCATTAACAAATCAGGATATCTCAATAAAACTCAATGGAATACCAATGAAATTTCAATGAAAGTTTATTACCTGGTAGATCACCAGTGTGATGTAAGGCTTCGTACGACCCACAGGCCCATTCCTCTGTGATTATGTTCTGATAACAGCTCTGCCAGAGACCTTCGTGCCACCACACAGTGTCTTTGACGTAAGCGACCATCCAATATGAAGTGCTTAAAGCCACTATGTGCATGATTAAGCAAAGAAGTAGGATACCACATGTGACTTTAATAAAGATGGTGGCGTTGTCAAACAATCTGATCTTGATTTCATTTTCTGATTTTTCGTTCATGTGCATATTGATGAGTTTGTTCGACTATCGTCACTGAAAGTATAAAGATAATAGAGGTTTTGTGAGAGCACTACTAGCATCAATTTGCTCCATTCCAATTTTCCAATCGAATGATAGAGACAAACAAAATAAGCACTATTAGCCTACCTAAATACCTCCCAACTTTGTCCTGAGTTTTCTCTAGCCTTTCTGTGAAATATTTTACAAGGTATTCAATTACAGTGTAAATTGATATACTCGTAAACCTAAATAAATAAAAAATACCAAGGAGATGAATTTTTATTGGCTGTTGAGAGAAAGAGGGGGCTGGTTGTAGAAGGGTCACTGGTGATGCACTCCAAACATATCCCTGACCTTAACACAAAATAACACTATGTCTTGTCTTGTCCAATTTTATCCTCATTATCGTGAACACTGTGATATTAGCAAATCCAATAATGTTGATACTATAGCTAGATTACGGGGGTTATGATTCGGCTACGTATGTGTTGCTGTTAGGGAAACCAAAAATATCCTTAAAAATATCAAAAATGATTGTTTCATCAAATACAAAGTTAGATGTGGTCTGTAATACTCCTTACAGAGTAGCGTCCCTTTATGCTAGGTCAGGTCAAAGCTTTAGGCCTAGTCCTAGATGCTATGCTTTCTATATTATAGTTCATAGACTATTTGTAGCTGTAAATAATCTCAGGGAAGACGGGGTGTATATTTTCGCATTGCTGAAAAGAACAATTGTTCTACCCAAATATTTCTATTGCTTGCCGAACAATAATTCGCTGAGGTAGGAGAGGCGGGGGACACTGTACCCCCTCTCCCCTTTAACAGACTTATTTCAAAGGATCACTAAGAACTTAAATTGATATCCTTATTAAAATATCGCTCAAACCTTTTGTCCCCATTCTTTATCAAAATATGAATATATAAACGCAGAAAGAATGAAAGTGTCAGGGCCGATCTCATCCAATTATCACAAATGAAAAATATAGTAAAAGACTTTAGACATCTCAGATTCAAATGATAGATATGCAACGAATTGAGGTCATATTCTTATAATCCAAAGCGTTTAGAACATTTAGGGTTTAAACAAATACACATAAAAAAAACCACTCACAATTTGTCTAAGGCCTGATCCAAATAATTGTCGAAGTTCAACATCTAAATCCAATCGACTAAGACACACAATCGTCAACTGACTTCCACTGTATCGTAATGGTTTAAAACTACAAGTCAACGAAGTGTTAAATGACAAGACGAGTAATGGGTTCACGGGGTCATCAAGTCAAAAAACTCAAAACTTCAAATATTTTTATATCGTTTACAGACAATATTGGCCTTAAAGGGACACGATTTATTTGAATTGAATTAAATTAAGTTTTATATCCTACTGTTCTTTATTGGACTAATGAAATGAAATGGAGTTTTATATTCTACTGTTCTTTATTGGACTAATGAAATGAAATAGAGTTTTATATTCTACTGTTCTGTATCTTATTGGACTAATGAAATGAAATAGAGTTTTATATCCTACTGTTCTGTATCTTATTGGACTAATGAAATGAAATAGAGTTTTATATCTTACTGTATTGTATCTTATTGGACTAATGAAATGAAATGGAGTTTTATATTCTACTGTTCTGTATCTTATTGGACTAATGAAATGAAATAGAGTTTTATATCCTACTGTTCTGTATCTTATTGGACTAATGAAATGAAATAGAGTTTTATATCTTACTGTATTGTATCTTATTGGACTAATGAAATGAAATGGAGTTTTATATTCTACTGTTCTGTATCTTATTGGACTAATGAAATGAAATAGAGTTTTATATTCTACTGTTCTGTATCTTATTGGACTAATGAAATGAAATATAGTTTTATATCCTAAGAACTGTTCTGTATCTTATTGGACTAATGAAATGAAATAGAGTTTTATATCCTACTGTTCTGTATCTTATTAGACTAATGAAATGAAATGGAGTTTTATATCCTACTGTTCTGTATCTTATTAGACTAATGAAATGAAATGGAGTTTTATGTCCAACTAGGCCCAAGTTAGTCATTGGTATAGATGCCCTCACACCATAGTGATTAAAAGTTGTTTATGGTTGCGAATAAGAAAAGAATTGTGTTGCGTTCATTATTCACACTATGGTTTTGAGGGTATCTCGAGCTAGAGTTTATCAAGGGTTGGTGTAAACTGACCTGTATTGGTTCACTTCACTGATTTCTATCATCAATTTGCAAGGGAAAAAAAGACGAGAGAGAAAAAAGGAGAAAAACAAGAAAATGTCAAAATAGATAATTTGAAATGTATAATTATCTTTTTCT